CACCTTGCTTTATTCAACTGTAAAATCCCTAGGAAGGCTTGTCAAGTGGGGAATGAGACACGGAGCAAGAGAAACGCGAAATTCTTTATTTCTAAGGCCTCTTTCAAGGCCACAGGAGGATAGATCCGCAGCATAACAGACTTGCATGCACCGCACAACCCCTCAGGACTAAGATTCTGGCACACATCCGCAGTGATTTAGAATTACCTTTCTATTAACGGCAAAGGCTGTGGGGGTGCGTTAGTTGCATAGCGTGGCTTTCAGCCCAGAGAGTTAGTGTAGTTAGTTTTTGCCTCCGGCGGCCGCCCCCCCGCGGCTGGGAGGGTCCCACCGTTTGGTTACCTGTGGCCAGCGCGAAGGCCGGGACACTATGGAAGCGCACCGGGCCGCGACTGCGGCCGCCTTCGCACTCCACGAAGGCGGCCACCAGCCCGCATGGGCAGTGGATGTTCACGCGGGCCTCGCGGGCGCCGGCCGAGGGCGCGGGCACCAGCCCGAAGTCGAGCGCGAAGCGGCCCAGCGCCAGCACCGCGTGTCCGCACATGGAGCTATAGCCCTCGTTGTGCAGGAACAGGACGCCCAGGTGCGCGTCTGGCAGCTCGCTCTGCACCAGCACGGCCCCGTACATGTCCCGGTGGCCCCGGGGCTCAAACATAAGCCGTCGCCGCACGTGGTCAAGGTGCTGGCGCATGAAGCGCCGCTTGGCCAGCAGCGTGGGGCCGACCACCTCCGGGCACCCTGCCATAACGATGCGCAGGGGCTCGCCACCAGCGTGCATGTCCACCACTGACAGCGCCGGCGTCCCTGGGTCGTGGGGTGGCAGTAAGGGCACCGGCCGCGTGCTCTCCACTGTCTGCATCCAGGAACTCGACCACCCACCCGTAACGCCGGCGTCAAGCCCCGGGCCTATCTGTACTCGACGTGAGAAGAGCAGGACGCTTGACCTCTCTCAGGGGGCGGGGTCTCGGGCCTAGACAAGGAAGCGCGAGTCAGGGGCGGGGCTTCGGCATGGTCACCCGGGTTACCAGGAGGCGGAGCCGCCGAGGTGGCTGTGGCCCGGATGTCCGGGCGCTGCGGCTGGATCTGCTGATCCTGGATCTTCTCCAGGGGAACTTAAGAACGGCCAATGGGTGAGTGGTCACCGGGGTCCAGGGAACTGTTTGTCTTAGTCCCTTTTTCTTCTCTCTGCTGTTGGCTCTGGGCTCGGTCCGGCAGGCCGCTTCTAAATAGAGGCTCATCCCCGCCCCTTCCTCCCACCCATCTTCTGGCCAGGCCTCCTCCAGACTCTTCCCAGGATCTGGATAGTTTTGGATCCTGACAAGCTGCAGAGGGGAGGCCAGCTACGTGCTGGGAGTAAGGCCAAGCCTTTGTTGTTTTGTTCGAAATGTCACTCTGTCTGTTTGTTTCAGTACCTTTGTTTATTTAACATTCATGAGGATTGACTTCACATTTTTGAGTGCAGAAATACAGTAAGGGAAGCAGAAGCTAATTGCCGCATAACTATTGTTTCCTGCTTCGGCATCTAACATAGTTGATAGGGCCCTTCATAAAGAGGCAAGATGGTTGCAAAAAAAGCCAAAATTTTAGGCCTAGTTTACTAAAGGAAATGAAAGAGTAAAGTGAAGGGACACTGGGAGTCAGGGTTTTGTTTGGTTGATGATAAACTATTGCTTTCAGTTTATCATACTGGTTTTCAGGCCTTGGGTTTTAAGAAACGTCACCTTATTTACATTCAGATATATTTATTAAGCATCTAATAGGTGCAAAGCCCGTACAGAAAAAGCTTCCAGTTCTTTAACTTATGCCTTCTCAAAAAATTCGAACAATTCATTCCATCTATTAGTTTAGAACATCGTGATTACAGTTGGTTTAAAACTAAGTGCCAAGTAAGGTAAAGAAGCCCCTGGGTTTATTAAAAATTCAGAAATTTAATGAAAGCGAACGTATTAAATGAGGCATTTTAGTCAGTGCTATTTCTGTTTTTTCTCAGCAGCACAAGGAGAAAGAAATCAAAAGTCTACTCGAATTTGAAAGGAGAAAGGGCATTGTGGACCAGGCAGTCTCTAGATTGTTAATTCATGAAGAATTTGGGAAATGATCATTCAAGAATAATCATAAAATATATAATTCTTAAATTAATTCATATTTGACCACAGTTCTTTTGGATTTATTCCACACTAGGCTGTAGATTTCTTGAGAGCAAGGACTCTGTAATGTTCCTCTGTGGCTCTTTTGTGGTCCTTAACTAGTGGAATCTGACACTTTAATGCATGTTTACTGAATGAATGAATCAGTGAATGAAGGGTAACATGTCACTGATGAAAAATATCCTCCAGTAACTTCTACTTGTTGATGATATCAAAGACAATCTGTAGGCCCTGAATTTTTCTTGTAAAGAAGAGCTGCTTTTTGTTTTCTTTGAGGCTTAAGATCAAGGTAGTTGATTCTAAGGCAGTGGTTTCCAAATGTTGGTCAGTGTGGCCCACTGACACAGCTTTGATGAAATTTTCACCTGTCCTTGACAAAAATGACAGAAGTTAGGACAATGTAATAAGCTTTTTATAAAGGTGAATTTATTTACTTAAAAGTTTTCCCTTTATTCTGAAATTATGTCCTTTCTGCCCTCCTGATGTTATATAATGAAAGGTGATAACAGATTGTACCTGTGTGTGTGTCACGTAATGTCCTGACTGAGCAAAATGAAAAGTAGTGATTCTCTACGAATTCTCTTATTAAAATTAACAATGGAACTTCAGAGGTCTAGACCATCTAACAAAGGGAAGTGGCTGGAGCCATCGGAGTCATGCCAGATTAGGCTTTGAGTTCTGGGGATAGACCCCGCTCTGCTGGTTGAGAACCTTAATCATAAGGAACAGTATGAACAACAAGGTTCCAGTGTAACTTTCTGCAGTGTCACAGTGTAAAAGGAGAAATTTAATTTTTAAAATAAATGCTTTAAGACTTGTCATTATAATACATACCATCTTTTACTTGAAACTGTGTTTCAAATATTCAACTATTATTGCATAATTTTTTTAAATCACAAAAGATGTTACTGTACTGGCATTTGTTTTTAAAAAGCTGTCGATATTCAACCAGCATGCCTTGGACTTTACTGTGGGAAGACCCTACTATTTAAAAATGGCTCAACTGAAATATATGGAGAATGTGGGGTAAGTCTTAATGTTGTGTATTATTTCATTTGTAAAACCTTTTGGCTTTTGAAGTATTTTCACATGTAGAATATCTTTTTTCTCCATTCTGGTCATTAAAGGAATATGGAAGCATTAATAAAATCTTTGTTGTCATATTGATTGTCTATAATCTTGACAGTCACAGATAGCAATTTTTTAAACATTTTATAATTTTATAGTAATTTCTAATTATTTTTTATTAATGATGTAGTACAGTGACTTGGACTTAACATCATAAATGTAGAACACTTTGCAATTATTTTTACATGATATTAATAAGTTTTTTGTTTAATGTTACTGTTTCAGTAAATTAGTAAAAGAAATCCTTTAAGAGCATTTTACGGATATAGGCAAAAACAATGTATTTTGTTTTTTTATTTCTAAAAGACACACATGTAAACATATTTAAACTCAAATGGGATATCTTATAGAATGATTTTTTGAGGGGAAGGTGTTAATATTCTAAAATAATATCTGTACATAAAATATTGTTTTTACATATTGTAGGTGTGCCCAAGAGGGCAGAGAACAAATGCACAGAAGTATTGTCAGCCTTGCACAGAGTCTCCAGAACTTTATGATTGGCTCTATCTTGGATTTATGGCTATGCTTCCTCTTGTTTTACATTGGTTCTTCATTGAGTGGTACTCAGGGAAAAAGAGGTTAGCACTTTCTATGAATGTGTCTGGATGGAATGATATTGGAATAATTATCATTTATAAGACCTTATCAAGTAATTATACTTCTGTTATTTTAAAAATGGTACACCTGTTTTTGCTTTATATTCTGATTACTTTTGACTGTGGCAAGAAAATTTAATGATAGGGCATGCCTCAGTAATTAGTAAAGGAAGTATACTACATCTGTTTTACTCTAAATGATCTTCAAAGAATGTATTTTTAAATTTTATCAATTATAATCTTTATTGGTTTTCTACAAAGAATTGCTTATGATTACAAACTATTGTTCTAGAGCAAATATATTGTAATTTAATACTACTAATCTGTTATAATGTTAAAATGATATAGCTGCAACCTAATTATGAAAACTTATACTAACACATTACATCAACAAACATTTATTCAGCACTGTGTTTTATGTTTAGAAGATCAGGAGAGGAGATACAAAAATAACTGACATGGTTTAGAGCTATCATCTTGTAGAGAAGACAAATATATATACAACTAATTGTAATATAAATCAGTCTTAAAAATGTATAAACAAAGTGTATAAAAAGGATTATAAATAAAATGCTCTGGAATCACAAAGAATGGAAGAGATAAATTATGCCTGGTGGAATCTGAAAAACTTCAAAAAAAAGAACATTTTAGGCAGAGGAAACAGCATAAACAATGGCATGGAGGCATGAAATGTGTAATCTGTTGTGGGAGGAAGGGAAGTTTGGGTGGTCAGAATGGGGACTGCATATGAAAAGAAGGTGTTAAAAAGGAGAGTGGAAAAGGTAGATTGAGGCCAGAATGTTAATGTTCTCGATGAGGATGTGAACTTTATTCTACTGGGAATGAAGACCCACTTTCTACCCTAGTACATTTCAACCCTACTGGCTTTCCATTCCTCTAATTTCTCAGCATCTTACCCGCTTTAGGTCCTTTCCACACTATTTTCTCTGCCTGAAATATTCTCTTCTTTCTCTGTGACTTTTTACCTAGTTGCCTTTTTTCCCTTCAGATAGCAGTTTAAATTATACCTACTCATATAGGCTTTCCCTGGCCCAATCTAAAGTAGATATGTCCCCCTTATTTTTCTTTCTTAATAGCACTCTTCATTTTGTTGTTTTCGTTTTATATTTAGCACTCAACACAATTTATAGTTAGTTATGTTTGTTTCCTCATTTAACGTTCGGCCCATTCCTGACTGTAAGTTCCAGGCAGGCAGTGGCCATTTCTGTTATTCTCCGTGGAATCTCCCAAGACCAGCACAGCAGCTGGCAAGTGAAAGATGCTCACTCGGCTACTATTTGCCAAGTGAATGATTTATTGGTGAAGGTTTGGGTTTAGAGAAGTTGCATCATTGGATGTTATATTTTCCGAAGATAACTCCTGTGGAGGGTAGATTAGAGGTGAGACATCCTAGAAGGCTGTTGTCCAAGAAACAGTGATGGCCAGACTCCAGTAGTGGGAATGGAAGTGAAAAAAACTGATTAGATGGAAATAGAATAAGCACTTTTCTAGATCCTACTTCATAAATCCATGGTGATTATTTATGTTGGGAAAGCATTCATTGTTTCTCAGAATATATAAATAGATTTTTTTAAAAGCAGGTCTCATCTTTTTAATTTCTGTTATAGAATGATGAGAGATGGGGGCGAGAAAGATGTGATTCTAAAGCTAAATAGAATAAATGCTCAGTTAATTGTTGAAACCTCTCAGCTCAAAGAAAAAAGATGGGATAAGAGGTACCTCACCAAATGCATCAGAACTAACTCATCAGGTATGTTTTGAGGGAGAACCTTGGAGCAGAGGTTAGAGCTTTGGTTTGAGGGCAGAGCAGTGATCAGTGCTTAAGCAAGAAAGGAGGCGGGTTTTAAAAGGAGTTCGCATAACTATGCTTTGCCTAGGAAATTGGTAGCAAGGAACACAAGGACCAGCCCTTGCATTTTCCTGAGATGCTGCACTTAAATCAAGGAAGCAGAGGCCTAGCTGTCTGAGGCTATAGCAATGTTTCTCAACCTTTTTTTCACTGTCACCTCCTTAAGGAACCTTTATAGATAACTTCCCCCTAATTCCACCTACCGCCATTAAATTTTAATATCACAGATGCCTAAATTACTTTAATAAGTTTTGATAGCAGTTTGACAAGATACTGTAGATAAATGTGGATCTAATTTCTGCTCTTCTACGCATTTAGATACTATTGGCACAGCATTATCTGGGATGTATATCCCTTTTTTGTAAACAAGATTAAACTCTTCTTAAGTTGTTTTCATATAGGTTTGTTTTTTTCTTACCTGTTTAGATTTTTATTTTCAGGATTTACCAGTTAAATTTTTTTTTTAGAATCCATATCTTGAATCATATCCAGATTTTATTAAAGCCATTCAGCACTAAAATTTTTTTGGTAATTGTGCTTCTTTTGTTTTACTAGTTCCAGTGCACTTTTCCAACACATCACTGCATTATTTGAATGCAGTATGGCAGCTATCATCACCTTACTTGTGAGTGATCCAGTTGGTGTTCTTTATATCCGTTCATGTCGAGTATTGATGCTTTCTGATTGGTACACAATGCTTTACAACCCAAGTCCAGACTATGTTACCACAGTGCACTGTACTCACGAAGCTGTCTACCCACTGTAAGTATTTAGACTTGAGATCATTTTTTCAAAAATGATAATGATGGATTTCACTTATTTCAACATATCAAGCATTGTAAAATGGCTTCTAGGTACTGGGGAAGATATATAGAAATGATTTTCTTAAGAGATACATAGCCTGATAGGAGGAAATAGAAATTCCTCTAATCTTGGTATAATAGAAGTGAAAGTATTTTTGTGTTGGTGTTTAGAAAGTGTGTATAAACACATAAAATAAGCCATATATGTTTCTTAAGAAAGGAGTTATAAGGAAAACCTTTTTGATATGCAGCAGAGAAGCTGCTGACATACAGAAAAGAGTATGGGCTTTGGAGCTAAAGGCCAGCTTGAGTTTGAATCCCAGGTCTGCCAGTTGTTGTGTTAACGTGAACATATTCAGAGCCTCTTATAACTCAGTTTTCCCATGATAAAATGGGAATGATGATCCTTTATAAGGTGATTGTGAAGATTAAATAAATGTGCACATATCAAGTACAGTGCAATGCCTTATATATAGGAAACACCTAATAGTAGCTGGAATTATTCAAGTGCTTGAGTAATGTTCTCTTTCTTTTTTCCCCCAAATGTTTGTAATTTCCATCAGAATGTTTGTTTTACAAATATCAAATTCATAAGGTTCTGTGTAATATTATCCCAGACTACTTCATTTTTAGTTTCTGTTAATTGTTGGTGTTCATTTGATGGGTTTTTCTTGGTAAAGGTTTAATAGAAGAGTCTGATATTTATGTTCTCATAGTTAATAGCAAGTTTTCATTACATAATATGCCAATGAAATCATCCTTTTTAAGCAAGTTCTTAATAGCACTAAGCATTAAAAATACACATGCACATATGTTAAAAAGGTAATTTTCAAAAAATAAGACCCAGATATAAAGGTATTGAAAATCTTTTACATCTTCCTACCTTTAAGGCCTACAAATTATTTATTCCATGTATAGATATTATTTTCTCTGTATCTCTATGTATATAAGATTAACATTTATGTGTAAAAGACTGATAAAGTTTTTTTTATTTCATAGAATTATACCCTCAGCCTCAATTAATGAAATAATGGCTGTATAATATTCCAGCTTGAATGTACTATAAAATTTAACCAGTTTTCTATTGCTGAATATTTATTTTCTTGCTGAGTTTTATTATGTGATCCAATAAAAACCTTGTTCATAAAGTTTTTTGTGTATTCCCGATTATCTCCCTTTGATAAAATTCTGCAAGTAAAATTGCTGGATCAAAGGATATAACCATTTTTAGGATTTTGGATCTACATTTCCAAACTGCCTCCTGGAGAGGAACCAACATGCCCTTTCCAGCGGTGTACGAGTCTTTTTGGCCAACCTTCCACCAATATGAATATTCAATGGGTAGACTTAATATACTTTTTAAAACTCTTATAGGATCTTTAATTTAAATTAACAATCAATGATAAAATATTTTAAAACATATTTCTGCTAATACAATTATTTTATTTTATAGGTACACCATTGTATTTATCTATTACGCGTTCTGCTTGGTATTAATGATGCTGCTCCGGCCACTCCTGGTAAAGAAGATTGCCTGTGGGCTGGGGAAGTCCGATCGATTTAAAAGTATTTATGCTGCACTTTACTTCTTTCCAATTTTAACTGTGCTTCAGGCAGTTGGCGGAGGCCTTTTATGTAAGTTTGATGAGTACATTTATTATCATATGTGATAAACAGTATTTTCTCTGAGTATAATTTTGGAGCTTTTTTAAAAAATAGTTTTTTTTAATCCTTGAAAATAATCCATAGTATATATTTTTGCTAAAACATATAATAAGCCTTATAAAAAAATCAGGGTTTCTTGGAGTGGATTAGAAATTCTCAAGAAATTAGTGGCACTAATCAAAACTGATTTATATTTAGAGAATACTTTGTATTTGAAGCTTATGACCTAAATAAGAAGATTTTAAAACCCTGTATAAATTAAAAAACAAAAATCTGGTTTTTGCATATAAAATATGGAGGTTACTCTTGATAATGAATACTATTTACCATTAAGTTAAGTCCTAGATTTCTAGTTCCTTTATGAAAACCTTTTAGATACAGTAATTTGGAATTAGGCCTTTATAGATAATTCAGTTTCTGGCCTCTGCATCCTGAAACATTTGAAATTGTTCCAAATGGATTTCACTGCAATGTAGAATGATTAGTGGTTTCATAACCTGAATTGAATTGTTTTAAAAGAATTGTATGAAAAATAATTCAAGATTTTTTTTCTCAAATTGTCCGTCTGTTTTAGTGTGCTATAAGTTTAAGAGAAAGGTGGTATTTTGTAAGAAAAATAATTTGCTTAAAGTATTATTACTATCCTGTATTTGGAGTACAGTAGTGTCCCCCTTCTCCACAGTGTCACTTTCTGTGGTTTCAGTTACCTGAGGTCAACCGCAGTCCGAAAATATTAAACAGTTCATACAATTTAAATTGAGTGCTGTTCTGAGTACTGTGATGAGATCTCATGCCACCCTGCTCCATCCCTCCCAGGACGTAATCATCCCCTTGTCTAGCGTACCCACACTGTTACTGTATATGCTGCCCTCCTGTTAGTCACTTAGCTCAATTATCAGATCAACTGTTGGCAATATCGCAGTGCTTGTGTTCACGTAACCCTTATTTCACTTTGATAATGGCCCCAAAGCTATTCACGTAACTTTTATTACAGTATATTGTTATAATTGTTTTATTTTAAAGTTATTGTTGTTAATCTCTTACTTTTCCTAATTTATAAATTAAACTTTATCATAGGTGTGTAGATAAAGGAAAAAAAAAAACCAATGTATATTGAGTTTGGTACTATCCACAGTTTTAGGCATCCACTGTGAGTCTTAGAATGTATCCCATGTGAATAAGGGGAGACTGCTGTAGAAATTTATAGAATTTTAGACATTAAAAGCACTGAATGATCTATTTATCCTTTGAGGTTTATTGATGTATAAACTTTTCTAGAGAATAATTTAAGCTGAATTACTCTTACAGCCTTTCCCAACTGAGGTTCAACATAACGCAGAAAATTATTCGAGTAATTATTTTCTAATTTCTTCCAAATTTGGTACATAACTAGTATCATTCTAGATGCATAGGAGAGAAGTTAATTCTTTACATTCAATGGATGCCTTAAGGCAGGGCTCTTCAGAGCTGGAACAAAGATAGTTTTACATTTTTAAATAGTTGGGGGAACAAAAGAAGAGTAATATTTCTTGACATGTAAAAATTACATGAAATTCAGATTTTATTGTTTATAAAGTTTTATTGGAACACGGCCATGCCCATTTATTTATGTATTGTCCGGCTGCCTTGCTCCCACAACTGTGGAGTTGGGTGATTGGGACAGAGACTGTATGGCCTGCAAAGCCAAGATTATTTACTCTCCGGCCTTTTACATAAAAAGCTTGCTGACCCCTGCGTTTAGAGCATTAGGGCTTGATTCTCTCACAGGACTGGTGGAGAATGTTTTCGACCTTGGGGAAAGTTATATTGTTTGATTTTTTTTGATGGTTCATTCAGAAAATGTATTTAATTTTTAACATTATACCAATGTTTGTTTTTCAGATTATGCCTTCCCATACATTATATTAGTATTATCTTTGGTTACTCTGGCTGTGTACATGTCAGCTTCTGAAATTGAGGTAGGAAATCTTTTTTTCCTTTGTTAAAAATTTTTTTTCATAGATTTGACAATTGACTAGGAAAATAGTTCATATGATACGACATTGTACAGCTGATCATTTTAGTAATCCTTGGCTAATTGATGTCACTCAACATTTGGTTATGTTTATAAAAGATTGTGTACTGGACCTTATTTGCTTGCAAAATTAGTGAAGTACTCAGGCTTAATTGTCTAGCATGTTGGAGAAAAAAATTATTTCCCATAATTTACCCACATAGAAAATATTGAATTATTGAAAGGTTGAAACAACACTTTTGAGGGAAGTAAAAAAATGGGTTATCATATATAGAACTAATGTTACACTTTATTTTACAATGGCAACACTGTCATCAATAATTACATCTTACATTCCAGACCCTTCTATATTTTGTCCCCAGTTTTATTTTCTTCCTTATGGATTTTTATTTTTGCCCTCTAATATCTGTAATATTTTGATGATTTGGAAATAACATTACTAGTAACATTAGTTCTGATACTATTTGTTTTGAGATATCTATTGTGTTCCTCTATTTATTTTTCAATTACAGTTGACAATATTATTTTATATTAGTTTCAAGTATACCGCATAGTGGTTAGACATTTATATAATTTATGAAGTTATCCCCCCAATAGGTCTAGTACCCACCTGGCACCATACATAGTTATTACAATATTATTGACTATATTCCCTATGCTGTTCTTTATGTCCTGTGTCTGTTTCATAACTGCTAATTTGTACTTCTTAATCCCTTCCTGTTTTTCACCCAACCCTCAAACCCCTTCCCATATGGCACCCACTTTTCACCCAACCCTCAAACCCCTTCCCATATGGCAACCACCAGTTCGTTCTCTGTATCTGAGTCTGTTTCTGTTTTGTTTGTTTGTTTATGTCGTCTATGAGTCTGTTTCTGTTTTGTTTGTTTGTTTATGTCATTTTTGAGCTTCCACATATAAGCGAAATCATATAGTATTTTTAGTATTTCAGTGGAAGGCCACTGTTAGAAAGATCTCTTTATTTTGAGGCTAACCTCTAAGGAATAAAAGTGCCTTAGTACTCTTCCATCCTATTCTTGCTAATCTAGTGCCTATGCACTGTCTTCAACTGCCCACCTCAGTCGATGTACTTTCTCATGATTCTTAACATAAATAAAGCTCAACCCAGAGAAAGTAAGTTAACTATTTTGGAGTGCTGGAGTGTTTGCTGTTGGTACTCTATTTTTCTATTACATTAGTGAAAGAGTGAGAGGGAATGACTTTTAGGTAGAATAGTAGAGGAACTAGACAATATTTTTATGGTGATTATTCAGATGTTTTCATTTGTGTACTATCCCCATTCTCCTTTGTAATCTTTAATCAACATTGTAGTATGTTTAATTAAAGAAGATAAGCAGATTAGTTTGGGCATGTTTATCAACCCTAGGTAAAGATTTGAGGGGGAAAATGATTCGACCTTTGAATAAAATGAAGATTTTGAATTTTTATTACCCATAACTACTATAGATAGTAGTTACGTTAGATTGAAACTTGTTTCTCTGCCCTTGGGAATCTCTCCTATATAAAATATTTATGAAATAGGGACCTGAATCAGGAACAGACAGTCTAGCTTTAGGTGAGTTGATGAGCCATTTAGTAAGAGAAAACTGGTAACCTATTGCAAATTACATTTTAGTGTGTTTATTAGCACATTCAGATATTTTATAATAATTTGGTCCTTGTAATTTCTGTATAATTGTAAAGCTGTATTAAAATAAAGATTAAAAAGAAATCAGAGTAGTCACACATTATTTCTGCTCATTTCTAATTATCCAGGCAGTAGACTCCAGGAATGCTAGAGGTTAAAGAATTTGGGTGTATATACTTCCTGTTTCTCACCTATAGACTCAGTTGCAGTGATCAGGGCAAAAACGTGGAGTTTCCCTCCTAGTCATATCTTTCAGAAGAAACTGTAGTGTTTCCAGGCTTGGGTGGTGGTGTAAACTAATTTAGAGACATGGGCTCCTGACCTGGTGCTGCCTCTGAGTGCTTGTATGACGTGACGGTAGGAAGCCTCAGTTTCCTCACTTGTAAATGTAGTGGCTAGAGTGGGTGATGCCTTAGGTCCCTTTTAGCTCAAACATTCCACGATTCTGACAGTATGATTTTATATGAAAACAAATAACACATTTTAAATAAAATGTAATAAACTATCTAGCTGATTCAGCCAGATAATCTGTTTTTCTCTTTTCTCTCTTTTATAAAATTATGTAGAATTGCTATGATCTCCTGGTCAGGAAGAAAAGACTCATTGTCCTCTTCAGCCACTGGTTACTTCATGCCTATGGAATAATCTCCATTTCCAGAGTGGATAAACTAGAGCAAGATTTACCCCTCTTGGCTTTGGTACCCACACCAGCCCTTTTTTATTTGTTCACTGCAAAATTTACTGAACCTTCACGAATACTCTCAGAAGGAGCCAATGGACACTAAAATGCCACACAAAAAAAACCAAAAACCAAAAAACAAAAACCTAAACCTAAGAAGTATTCCTTTTTTTTTTTTTTGAAGTATTCTTAATAAAAAAGTAAAGAAATAAAAAATAGTTTTAGTACTTTTCTGTCACACATGGAAATAACATTGTCAATATATGTTAATGTTTTTGTTGACTTTGTTTTTGTTTTTTGACCTAAGAGACTTGATGATTAGACTTGGAAAAGACAAAATACTATAATACTCTGTTACACAGTATAATATACTATACACTTAGAGCACACTATTATATGACACTATTCGGTCTATTAGGAAGCACTTGCCTCTTGCAACAGTTTAGTTATTCTTTAGAGCAAAATCATGTTTCTGTGTACTTAGCAATGTGTTGTTTTACTTTTTGTTAAAATCTTTAACAAGTATAATCTGAAATCCTTAGCATTGGTACAGTTATGCATGCCTGTTATTTTTCAATTTGTTTTTCAAGTCAAATGAATTACTTATGGGGGTCTTTTAGCAAACATGGAAATAAAGTATGTTGTTTTTTGTTATCTATTTATTTTCACCAATACAGTATTTTAATCTATTACAAAAATAGAGCATAATTTATATAACAGATTTTTTCTTTACAGGTAGTTTGGTTTACGATATCTTCAGATTATTCCTGTAAAGAAAAACAATAGTTAAAAGCTTAACTTCAAAAAGTCTCAAATGTTCTGACATTTGTATTTTGCCATACTAGTTGTGGAAATTCAAAATAGTAAATAGTAAGATTAGTGTCTTTTTCTCAAATGAATAAATGCATGTACTCACATGTTCCCTTTCTCTTACATCTCATTCTTTAAGGATAGATACACACGCCACATTTTTTTGATTCTGGGACACATTTTTTTTCACATTCTGACATCTCTGAATTAGGCTGCATCTTATTATTGATGGCTTCTTAGATTTAACAAAATACAAATATACACAGCATATAAACAGTTTTCCTGTGGTTGGTTGGTGTTAAGTGTTGCTGCTTGTCAATTTTTATTCTCTGAAGACATCAAGAGACTTATGGTTGCAACCATGGAAGCAAAATAAGACTTTTAGCACTTAACCTGATAATCTGACCATGTTTATCCATTTATGTTGTTTAGAATTGCTTCTGCTATTGGTGGGGGTTGTATGAGTTTATTAAATCTCAAACTTTAAGACTTCATTGACAATTGCAAATTATGAAAGTGTACTCACTTTTTCTGTAGTTTTGTTTATGCCTTTTGAATTCACAGCAGTTGTATCCTTGAAGTTATTTTGTTAGTTTTTCTTTGTTACTGTATTTTTTATAGTACCTCCAACCACTGGGAAATGGGCTTTTTTGATACGTTTGTGTTTGTTCATTTCTGTAGGAATAAAAATAAAATGTAAAAGTTGTATATGTATTTCACACAGCTTTGAATGGTTATTAGTGTCTATTAAAGTTCTAAGTTGTCCAAAGAATCCTCAGCTGGAAAGGGAAGTCTAGGGGGTCATGTAACCGATTACCAGGACTTTTCTTGTCCCACTATATTTAGAGCCATTTTAACAGTTATCTTCTCCTCTGATGTCCTATTTTAGCAGAAAAATGTTAATGCAAAAGAAGAAATCGTACAAATATGATTACAAGTCCTTAAATGCAAAGAATTTCAAGAATACTTAATACATATCTGCATTTTTTGCTTTCTTAAGAACAAGACTAGAACAATTCATAGCAATTGTGATTGCTAATGTTACTAAATAATTTGTTAAAACGTGGTTATTAAAAATGTACAAAAACTACCCATGTTCTAGCTTAACTTTGTTTTGACATGGTCCTTGTGCATTATAACTCTCATTGCTCTAGTAATTAATTTTGCTAACTAGTGCTGGATAGGCAACTTAAAAGTCAAAATATCTTGATTAATTTGGGTCAATTGATAAATTTAAGTTACATTGTTATATATAAGTCTAAAACCATTGGTTTGTTCAACTTGACTTGACTGCACATCGGAGCTAGCTGGACAGATTTCTAAAAACATTCCCAGACATGATGGTGTATGGGCCAAACAGAATAATATTTAAAACTTTCTCCAGGTGATTCTAATGTTTGAGAACCATGGTCTAAACTCTCTTTCTAGTCAAGATGTTAATTTTTCCAAGAAATCTTTCAACAATTTCTGGGCAAATGATTTTTTAAATTATTATTTCTTACTGAAATTTTGGTTCTGCTTGAATTATAACTATATGTTTTTTTTCTTCCAGAATTAAATGAACAAAATACAGATAATTGTATCAAGTCTTTTTCCATCACAATAACAAAAATAACTGTAACAGTTATATGAATTATTTGATCTTTCAAAGTATCTCTTGGCCTAAAAAAGTCTCTGTAGAGCATTTATCCAGTTAAGACATTTGGTTAGTACACAAATCGTTTATCGGTAACCTAAGTTATAGTATATAAATTGGTATAGTATATAAATTATAGTATATGGTATATAATTTTTGGAATTTTAAAACAGTTCTTTTTAATACTTCTTTAAACATTTGTGCTCAGTTACTATTTGGTTTCGGTATATACTAAGAACTCATTTACCTTTTGTGTCCAAGAAAGAATATTTAAGGCAAAAAGTAACGATCAGAGTTTTCGGGATGAAGTCTGGTATTTCACACTGTGACAAGCCAGTCCTCCACTCTTGTCTGTTGGTACCCTTGGCAGATCTCCATTCAGCCATCTATTGCAGTTCCTGGCCAGACCATGTCTGCTGCTCCTCTGGGCAGACATCCTTGTATTTCCAACACCCCAAAGACTTAGAGGTCCCTCTTTACCCTCTCATAGCCACTGGAATCCATTGGATTCTAATCATCTCACTTGTCTCTTTCTCCCATCATGTGCACTTTGAGGTTCAGGGACTAGGTTTCATTCAACTTTTAACAGCAGCATTTGCTCTGGTTCCAGACTCGAAAGGTCCTCAACATGTTAATGAAACTAGTGCAGTGATCCTGAAGGAGGGGGCCAGGACCTGCATAGCTGCAATGACATAGTGTGTCCAGAAGAGGACAGGAGAGGGCTGCCGAGCTGGAAGAGAGCAAGGGCTTCTTTAGAAAGTCCACCTGTGAGAGAAGCCATTCAACAGGGACATTCAAAAGCTAAGAGATTACAGGTGGCTCAGAGATGGCCAAGTGATTCAAGGGGCCAAGGCTGACCTTTAACACCTCAGGAGGGTGGTAGATTTTAGGGATCTGAGTGCCTAATACAGGTCTAATGCTTTATTACCGCTGTCAGTTACCTGTATTTTACAACCAGAGAAACTGAGGAATGGAGGTTAAATAATAGGTAAGAAGCGAAGTTGAGATTTGAGCCCAGGTCCACTGTCCGCCAAAGCCCATATGGTGCCAGTGCTTCAGGAGCAGACATAAGTAGAGCTAGGGAAGCAGAAATCATCCTTCAGATCTCAGCTCCATTTCCAGTTCTTCAGAGACCTCTCCCGATTCCTTAACTAGGTCAAGTCTCCTTCTGAGATTCTTAAGTTCTTATGCCCCACCTTCAGTATACTTATGACACTTGAAATTTTACATACATTACATAATACCTGATTCTCCCACCATACCAGGAGTGGGCAATTCTGCTACCATGGCAGAGCTGAGTGGTTTCTACGAACACCTTTTGTGGCTTGCAAAACCAAAAACATCTGGCCCTTTAAAGTTTGCCAACCTCTGTACCTGTGATTTCCATTTGAGCAGGGACTAGATCTGTTTTCATTCACTATTGTAATCCCAGAGCCTAACATAATACTTGGCACAAAATAGGCATTCAATAAATGCTTGTTGATTACAGTTTAGAGTTAAGAGTGAAACATGGGTGGAACCTAAAATCAGGAGGAATTTCAATTTATCAGTATGTTCAATTGAAAACATTCCGGTGGCTGAAAATGGTACTGATTTTTAATTGAAATTCTTCCAACCAATAATTTATTGACTGAAAATATATTTTCAGTAAGAATATGTATATATAACGTTAAGTGACACTCTTTTCATTTTAAATGACGGAAGGGGAACATTTTAATTTTTTCCAAATTATAGTAACAGAGTAACAGAGCTCATTCATCATTATGTGGCCTAGAACAAAGAAGTCATCCCTTATTCTCTTATTTGGCTCAGTCTATATGATTCTTAGACATTGCCATACTGCCAACGAAGTTCACCCACTCCTTGAGTGACCAACAGAGAATATGATGTCAGTATCAACACCGTAGTTCAGATGTTGGCAAACCTATTCTCTAAAGGGTCAGAGATTAAACATTTTAGGCTTTGAGAGGCACATGATCTCCGTCACAGCTACTGTGCCATTGTAGCACAAAACCAGCCATATGTAATATATAAATGAATAAGCATGGCCATGTTTCAATAAAAACTTATTTATGGACATAGAAATTTGAATTCCATATAATTTTCTGGTGTCATGAAATATTATTCTTTTTATTTTTTTTTCTCCAACCATTTAAAAATATAAAAACCATTCTTAGCTCTGGGCCTTATAAAAACAGGAGGGAGCAGGGTTGGCCTCCAGCCTGGAGTTTACTGACCCCTGCTGTAGATAATAGACTTGCTCAGGGATCTTCATACCATCCTTAATATCTGGGAATATGGGGAGCAACTGAGAATATGGGGTAGAATTCAAAGCTAAATGCCTCTAAGTTTCAATTTCTCTATAGTTTTCATCAGTCTATAAACTTTCCTTAAGGTCTGCTGTTTGGTTATGTTAATGACAACTTGACCAGAAATTGTGGTCACGAGAGATGTACATAAATGGTCCCTAAACTCTTCTGATCTTTCATTTATGTCATATGTCCCAATTTATTTATTCATTTTAAATTTATACACACATATATGGTCCCCAAACTCTTCTGACCCTTCACTTAACATCAAGTACCCCAGTTTACTCATACATTTCAAATTTTATATACACACATAATATGTACAACATTAAGCATAGACAAAAATAGATATTTTAACAGATAACAAAATATTAAATATAAACAGGACTTTTAATATCTGCTTCCTGTGTGTAGAGTGATCGTCACGACCCACTTTGGAGATCCTTGATTGTTCTAGAATCTAGACTCTGTGATCTAGAGTCTACATCATAGCCAAATCTCAATGCACTGGCCTTCAACTATAGTCGGAAGAAGTAGGAGAGAGCTCCGATGTGGTCACGAGAGAGCACTACTCCCCATGTGCGGTATCAGCCAGGACTGGGCCTGGGGCTGGAGTTTTAGATCTAGCCACCTCGTTACTTAAAGGGGAAGAAGATATCTTGCTGTATTGTCTAGATGGGAAGATCTGAAAAGTAAATGTTCATTCATTCTCTAATTTTACTAGTATCTGTTAAGTACCTATTAAAAGTGGGAGGCACTTTTGCTATACACTGGCAATAAGTGGTGTACAAACAAAATGGTCCAGGCCTTCATGGAGCTTATGATGTTGCAGGAGAGACAGACAAAACACAAGCAAACGGAAATGAAATAACAGCTAGTTGTAACAAATCTCATAAGGAAATAAATAGTATGTTAGGATAGAGAATAATTTAGATTGGAGGTTCTTGTAAGATGACTCTGAGGAGTTGACATTGTCAGTCTAGATCTGAACCCCGTGCCCCTCGGAGGAAAGAGTATTCCAGGCTTATGGAGGTGATAGGGTTTATAATGCAGGGGGCACTGCTTAAAGCACAATTGTTACTAATGATAAATATTTCACCTGAATTATTAGCTTTGGTTTCTAGAAAAAAAATGAGTAGACTAGATAATCTGAAAACCTTCTTTGTATTATAACACACCTAGACACGTAGGAGAGAGAACTAATTTTTTCTGCAATGCAGAAGTTGCAAGCAAGCAAGGGAAACCCTCAAGGCTCTCCAAAAGAGGGAGTAAACTCCTGAGCAGTGAGAGTGAGCACTGGCTTTGTCTGCAGCCTGGAGAGGGAGACTAGGGAGGGTGGGCTTCCTCCTAACTCGGAGGGGGATGCCAGAGAGAAGGCCTTGAGTTCCTTCCAGGCAGGCAGCTGGGACAGACAACCCTTCATAAAGACCCTATTTACCCCTCTGGGAATGAAGGAAGGAGGGAAATGGAGCTGGAGAGCAGTATGTAAGAGAATTTCATTGTATCATGTTCTAGTTCTTGGGGGGAAAATATCGTAAGTAAATATAGAAAAATGTTAATATTTCACAATGCTTGATGCTGGATATAGAGATATACAGGGGTGTGTGTGCGTGTGTGTGTGTGTGTGTGTGTGTTTATACATTTTACACGTGCAACATTTCCAAATATTAACTGGAACTTGTTCAAGTTATCTGGAACAAGTGCAGTTTAATTAAGAGTCAAATATTTACTTATACTGATTGCCTATCAAATGAACTCAAATTTTAATTAAATGACTGTACTGTTTAGATGGAATAAAATGAATGGCACACACTATATTGTCCTATTATTTAATTTTGAGGGGTTTATTTTCATTCAAAGCAACTGTTACTCTATTCTGAATATGATACTTTAAATTGAAAATAGACGTAAAAATTGAAAGTCCTGCTGAGAGACTGAATATTCAAACTGACAGTGGCCAGACCCTATATAATAGAACTCTGACCTCTGCAGCTGGCCCAGAGCAGTCCTAACTTGGTCAATGGCTGACATCTTCCCTACTTTTTGACCCTTCTAACTCAGGACCAATCAGAGAAAGCCAAATACTCTCACTAATGGATCACATAGAATGTCTTGCTTCTAGTTAGCCTGATGCCAGCTTCCCCAGGCCGACAACCTCCGATCAATGTGCACCTGAAGGCTTCTCTTTTCTTTTTCACAATAAACCTTTTCCACTACCCTGCCCGCCTGTGAATCTCTGCCAAATGCAAGTAATGGTAACCCTGTCTCCCTTGCTATACCAAGCTTTATGACTCTGCTTGTTCCCATTTAGGTGGTCGTCCTTTATCTCTACACTGCAATTCTACGCTTTCCATAGGTTGTTAGTCAATGAGACAGTCCTCGAAATATATGAAAAGGGGAATATGATATTAGTTATTCAGCTTTTCAATATAGTTTATTTAAATTTGCTCCAATGCAAAGATTCCATCAGGTTTCAGACAATAAATGGAAGATTCGCTCATATGAAAATAATGCAATTAACATTTAGAGATGATTTTGCTCTTAAAATACTGCTTCATCTACAGTTGCAGGGATGGCCTGGCCTAGCAAAGAAAATACGAAGTGAAGCAAGGCCCACTGGGACCTATTATGCATTATACATAATAAATATCACCTGGCACCAGAGGGACCACCGAAATAGCTTTTTGGCTGATAAGAAAGCTTACGCACAAAATTCTTCATTGGCTGCAAAAAACATTATTTCTCCTGTCAGCAATATCCTCAGAACATTGTTTTAACCAATTAATTCTATCACTTTATCACATTTTACTTTTATTTTTATCTCATTTTGCTTTCTAAAGCTCACCTTTATAATTACTGATGTAATGATATGCTCTTTAAAAGTAAACCTTAATAACCTTTAATAAGCTCATACACTTGCTCAACAATATTGTTTTCATTTCACCACTCCATCTCTCCCCTGCATACTCTTCTCCTGCCTTCTCCCCAGCCTTCTCTATCTCCACCATCCCACCTCATCAAGGGATTCCACCTTGGGACCCCTGGGCAATACCCGTGCAAGGGCTCGCCTCCATTTCTCACTGCAGCACTAACTTGAACAGAGCTCTGCAGCCCTATCATGACAGAGTAGGGATTAAGGATGAAGTTGATATTCCCCTGGAGAGACTGGCTGCTTGCTCACAAGGCAACCCTGTTATATAGGCTGTATGAACATCTCAGAAGCCTCAGAAGCATCATTAGATTTTCAGAGAAGGTAATAGTTGCTTGTTTTTAATGCTAAACTCACCTTTGGAAGAAAAGATAAAATGATGCTCAATATCTTCTGTTTTAAGAAGACAGGAAAGTACGTAAAGCAGTTTTCAAAGACTTCTTTGAAAAATGTTTAAAATAAGAGTTTTTTAAAAATTAGAAAAATAAGTTAAGATTTAGTTACTTAGAAAACTCAAGTAGGAGGGAGACTGATCCAACCAATGAGAATCAGTGTTCAGCTGAATGTCTGTGACATGATTTAGGGATGAATTACAGGGATAACTAAATTATTTAGTAGGCACTCTTTTTTTTCGGGGAGGAGGGCTCTTTTGATGTCACCAGCTACAGTAAAAGAGCAGGAAGTTCTTTGTTACCCAAAGCTCTTGAGATGCTACTTACGAGGATGGCCCACAGCTAATCCGTGTTCCGTAAGAAGACGCAGCTCTGCAAGATTCCCTTGTAGCCAGTTGCTGATATGCTCAATTTTTTCATCTCTTTCACTTAGCTTGTCTGTTAGATTTTTTATTTCTTTCAAGGTTTCTTCACCATCACATACCAAATTCTAAAAATAAAAGATAACATTTTGGGCGTGTGATTATAAATCGCAACAAAAGAAATAAAAACCATATTCGATTGAGTGAATCATATCCAAGACAAAAATATATATGCAAAATTGGTATTAGGCATGCAAAATAAATGGGTGTACACTGCACATTCACAAAGTTCTATAAATGATCTCAGAAAAATAGATTGGTAAATGAGAAGATTTAAAAGATTAAATCTCGCTGAACTAAAATTATTTTTCAAAGATTAATATTCTTTTATTGAGATATAATTGACAATATATTAATTTCAGGTATAGAACATAATAATCCAATATTTGTATATATTGTAAAATGATTACCATAATAAGTCTAGTTTAACGTTATCACCACATAGTTACAAAATTTTTTCTTGTGATGAGAACTTTTGAGATGAACTCTTTTAGCAACTTTCTAAAATATACAATACAGTATTATTAACTATAATTGCCATTCCCTACATCGCCATGGCTTATTTTATAATGAAATTTGTACTTTTTGACAAATTTCACCCGTTTCATACCCCAGCCCCCGCACCACCACCCCACAACTCCCAACCACCAGTGTTCCCATAGTGTTCTATGAGTGAACTCAAATTTTTAACTGCATCAGACAGCAGCGGTGGTAGCATGAAAAGCCAGCTCACTTTCAGAGCAGCACAGAACTGCCGAGGAGACTCAGGTTGGCTTAATATTTAAAAGAAAGAATTTTGGAGTCAGGCTGGATCTACATCTCCACTAGTTTATTAACTGTTTGGTCTTGGGCAAGTTACTTGAATTCTGAGTCTCAGTAGCTTCATCTGAAAGAGGCACTATTCATACTTTCCTTTAACCTTTAAGAGTTAAACAAGGATCATATCAAACTTTAAAAACTTAGAAAGTGGCAGAGCCAGGATTTAAACTCCAGCCTACCTGCCTGTAAAGTGGAAGGAGTGGAGATTCTGCATGGCTGGTAAAACATGGAGTTTAGATGGAGTTCAGAACTGACAACTTTGTCCTAAAACAATGTGTTCAATTTGAGCTTGTTAAAAAAAAAAAAAAAGTAGCATCCACTTTAACTGAAGTGGTAGTGTGGGAAGTTTCTCCCAAAATTAAGATTTCATAGTGATATTTGGCACAAAGGATACATTTTAGTATGTGATGGTCACAGTAGCTCTGTCATTCCCCAGTAATCCTATCCTCTATTGGTGCACATATACACACACACACATGCACACACTTATTAAGTAAATATTTTTGGAAATATGATAGAGAGATAACACAAAAAACTTACCTTTATGGTGATCTGAAAGTCAGCCCACAAACGCAAATATTGTGCTAAAATAAAGATTTTCAAAATGCAAAGTTTACTGAAACAATTTAAACATTTTGATAAAAGTAATGCTATTTGTTTTTTCAACAATTGTTTTTATCTACAAATTTCTACTTTCAAAATGACAGAACTGGCTGGACTTGCTCTCTCACTGCAAACAAGCAGAAAATAGGACATCAGACATGCGTGTAAGTCTTAAGATGATTCCAGTCCCCAGCTACTGAATTACTCCTCAGACATCAAGTTGCCCCAGCTGATGTCATGTGGAGCAGATGTGAGTTGTCTCCACCAAGCTCTGACCAAATTGGCAATTTGTGAGCAAAGTAAGTGATTTGTAATATTTGTTATGCTGCAATAGATAATTGGTTCAAGACACTTCACAAAATACGATATACAAGTGGCCAAAAGGCACATGAAAAGATATTTGACAACCTTAGTCATCAGGGAAATACAAATTAAAACCACAATGAAATACCATTATATGCCTGTTAAAATGGCTAAAATATTAACAATTTGAAGTGTTTTGACAATTTTAAGTGTGGGTGAGAATGCAGAGTATCCCGTAGCTAGCGGAATGATAAATTTGTAGAACCACTTTGGCAAACTAACCCTAGAACTCAGCAATTCCACTCCTCAGTATTTACCAAAAAAAAAAAATTAAAAAAAAAACATTCACGAAAACACTTGTAGACATACAGCAACCCCAAACTGGAAACAATTAAAATGTCCTACAGCTGGTGAATGAATAAACAAAAGATATAGTATACTACTATTATACAGCTACAAAAAGGAACTAGCCAATGATACATGCAACAACATGAATGGATCTTACAAAACAGTTAGCTGAGTGAACGAAGCCAGGTACCAGTGTGCATACTCTATCATTCCATTTATATCCAATCCTTAGTGATGGGAAGCAGATCAATGGTTTCCAAAAACTAGAGGTGGAATGGGACCCAATTACAAAGGGACACAAGATAAATTTTTCAGGGATGAAATGTTCTGTATCTTGCTTGTGGTGGTAGTGGTTACCATGGTATGCACACTTGCCAAAACTCACTGAATTTAAGACAGATGCATTTTATTGTATGTGAATCAGTAACATTTGATTTAAAATGATTTAAGCAAAACAAAAAACTTTATTTTTTGTACGTGAAGGTCACCCATGACACATTACTTACTCTGATGAGCTATCAGATTCCAAGACAGGTTACTTGAGATGTGTGTGAAGTCTTCTTCTCCCTGTTTGTATTGCTCTATCCTTTTCTTCAGATATGCAATGTACTGGAAATTAAAGGCATGTAATTGCTTTAAGAAGTTTAGTTACTGTAGGTTAGTTATCCATGCAGTCACTCAGCAAACATTTATTGATTCCTCCTCTGTGCCATCGACTATTCTAGGTGCAAGGGTAACGCTGATGAACAGAACCTTTGTCAAGCTTACATTCTGGTGAGGGAGATAAAGGATCCTGCTTTCTAGTAAGCACTTCAGCACCCAAATAGACATGGCATTCTGAATATAATTTTCCACAAAAAAGAAATTTAAAAATATTCTGCCTAATGCATTGTGTCCATACACACACACACACACACACACACACACACACACACACGCACACACACACAAATGTTCCTTATACAAAATGTGTATGCAGGGAGTGTCACAAGGCAGCAATTCTGCCTGACTGGAGGAGTTGGGCATAAGATCTCCGAGGGAGGGTTCATCGAGTCAGGAGACCCCACGGAACTGCTCACTCAAGTCGAATGTTTCATTGGGTTGGGTGATGGTGGTAGTAGTGAGTTGGGTACTACAGTCATGGCTTTCTGACCACCCAATGCTCAGGAACTCTAAGTCCCTGAGAACTCTGAAAGTACGGGCTTGGGGATATCAATTTGCACTGGCCCAGTTTTAAGGGAGAAATAGTTAGATACTAGAAACTACTGATAAAAGTCTAAGAAATGGCAGCCAGTACCATAAAAGGAGTAGACATGGAGCTGTTTATGTACCATGCACATGGTACAGGGGCTGCTCATGCAGCCTTGAGCTTGTGTCAGGCTTTTCATGGTTTATTGGCAGGTTTTATTGTAAATCAAAGTGAAAGCCACCTTAATCCAAGTCCAAATCATCATTCCTGCCCCTCTTTGAACATGGACCACTCTTTGTAGATTTGTCTATACAGCTGGCCTCTCATAACTTTCAAATGTGTTAACACATTGAATTGTAATTATCTATTTATAGACCCACTCCTCAGTCAGACGGTGAGATTCCTAAGGGTTTGGTTCAGCATCTTATTCATCTCTATATTCACTGCATCTTCCCCACGATTTGGGACTCAGTGGGTGCTTAAAATGTCTGTGGAATGAATGGATGTAATCAGCAAAACAGAAAGTGGTGAGTGAACAAAATAACAGCACAGGGTCATCCGGGGATAACTAGATTGGACACTGAATCCAAAAGCAGAACTTTTAGAATCGGTCTTTCAAATTGTCATTCATTTGCTCACTCATTACCAAGACAGCAATAAAATTTCAATTATTTTAATAAGTAATCTACATCATCTCAATAGGAAGACAGTATAGTGGAATATTTCCATGGGTGGATGCAATTCCTTATAGGTTTGTTTCAAGGGCCAGAAGAATGAACATGTATTGCATGTGTGTGGGTTATTGATGATGGTCCCCAGGCTTTGTGTGGCACATTTACATTTTCAAAGTTCATTAGTACTTTTTATGTCGTTTTAATTCTACCAAAAAACCTATGCTATTGGTGGAAAAACTGTTGCCACTTAACTAATGACAACAATTACCCAGAGAGGTAAAGGCATTTGCCCCTTACTTAGAGTCTTACTGCTGTGAGACTGCTTTTATTTTTCCAGCTATTGAAATATTCTAAAAAATGCAGAGCCTCAATTTCTTCATCTATAAAAGGGGAAGAATGTATTATCCACATTATAAGATTATTGTGATCATCGAATAGGACTGAATCCTCCTTACATATGGGGGATTGTGCAAAACATTTGGAATACACTGATACAGATCCTGACGTGAAGGTCATTATGGTTTACTGAAAAAATGATACGATTAATACAAAACAGACTGATTTTTTAAAAGAGCAAGAAACTCGAACAAGAACTTCACAAAGAGGGTATACAAGTGGCCAACAACATATGGATAGATGCTTCATTAATCATCTGGAATATCCAAATAAAAATCACAATGGGACACCATTGTACACCCTTCAGAATGATTACGTTGAAAAAATACCAAGTTTCAGAGAGAATGTGGAACAACTGGTGCTCTCATATGCTACTGCTGGAGTGGCCATTATTGCAACTTTTTTGGGAGATGGGCACTGTGAACTCAAGTGGACCCTATGCATCTCTATGGCTCTGTGATTCCACCTGAGTGTATACCCAACAGAAATATATACATACGTTCACTAAAAAGCATGTCCTAGAATGTTCATAGCAACACTGTAATAAAATAGCCCACTAGAAACTCTCTAAACCCCCATCAACAATAGAGTATATAAATAAATTGTACTATAGTCATACAATGGAATTCTTTACAGAATTATGAGAATGAATCAACCATAACTGCATGCAACAATAAGGATGAACCTCACAAACACAGTGTTGAGTGAAAGAGTATGTATTGTATCAGTCCAGATATATAATATTCGAAAGTAGGCAAAACTAGTCTATGGTGTTAGTAGTACGGTGTTGCCCTTGTGGGGAGGTTAGTGACAGGAAGGGACATAGGAGATATCTGAATATCATTAACACTTTGTTTCTTGATCTGGGTGCCCATTACCCAGGTGTGTTCATTAAGCTGTACACTTATGGTTTAGGCATATATGATTTTCTGCATGTACTTTATGCTTCATTTAAAAACTTTTAAGAGCTATTCTCTCCTTTTTGCTCATAACTATTATGGGTTAGGCAATCAACCAAAATCGCTGTGCAAACTGAAGTGCTCTTGAACTTACTTCTTTCAACCTTTTATTTTCCAGAAGCAAAGCTTCTGCTTTTATGTCATGTACATAAATTTCATTTTCTAAGTTCTTTAGAATTTCAAAATGAATTTTCATTTTATGGCTTTCTTGATCTCGTAATCCTTTTAATTCCTGTTTCAGTTTATCCTGCTCAGACATAAAACCCACAGTTATCTCACAGAGTTCAACAAGCAGGGCACCAATATATTAAATTGCCCACCAATATATTAGGACCCACATTCAGAGAGGGGTCCTAATTAATTCCTGAACCATCAGCAGAGGCTACGGATACTTTCCCTTAGAAAAACTTTATATTAAAGTCAAAACCTGATTCATGGAAATTTATTCATGGACTCAGGTACATGGACCCCAAGTTAAGCTGTTAAGACAGCTTCACAAAATAGAATATACATCGATATATAAACAATCGTCTGGCAAAAACGGAGGAGAGTGAAATGTATTGATGCTTTTCAGAGAGGATTTAATATTTTTCAAAGTAAAGGAGCATTACTTTATGGATTTTTCAGGATTTTCTATTGTTTACTGAATCTCTATTTACTTCTTAGTTTTTATACTGTCATAAAACATATAATCTTTATTCATTGTATAATCATCACTAGCAGCACCTTATTAAGAAATAGAATTGTGCATACAGTATATTACTTGTAATTTTCCCCTTCAGATTTCTCTATACCCACAGCATGTTAAAAGTTACTTGTGATATCAAAGAATAGAATGTTCCCATTTTTAACTAACCAAATCCACGTATACATGTTTATCATTAACTATTAATTATATATTTAAAAAAGTAGTAAACATTTCTTTATCTGCTCCCATTTCATCCACTCCCTCCCCACCCTGCAACCTCTGACCACTTGTCCTTGTCTTCGTAGGAAAATACCAGGATAACATATCTAAAAAGAACCTTAGAAAGCATAATCCAATCTCTACCTTATAAATAAGGGAACTGAGGCCCCCCCGCCCACTCAGTTATTTTCCCATGGTTACATGTTAGTTGCTCCTGGGGTCCCTCTCTCTCTCAGTGTTTATATGTACATATATATACACACATATACATGTATATATGTATGTGTATATGTATACTGTGTGTATATGTGTGTGTATGTTGTGACTAAAATTTCAAAACATCGGTAATAAAATGTGGGTTTTCTGAAAACGGTAATACTTACCTGGCACCATTTATAAAATAAATGTGGGTTTTCTGAAAACTCCAATGGTGCCAGGTAGGTATTACCATCCTTATATACCAGCATTCTAATAAAAGAAAGGAGAATGAATGCATCAGCTCTTTACCACGCTGTTAAAGTATCTTGAAAATTCTTTTGTCTTTTGAAAAATGAGACTGTTCAGTAAATTCTGATCCTGCTTTTGTGCTACAAAAAAAGAGAAAGAGAGAGAAAGATAACTACACACAACGTTCTTTAGTTTAAAATACATATTAATCGAAATAAGACGTTCGCCTGGTTTTAAAAGTAAATACTACTATTAGGCTTATAACAAAAACTAGCAGTCAAGTGCTCCCCAATGCTGCATCCACCCCTGTGTTTGACTCCTTAGAATCAACTATTTTTAACTAATTTTAGCTTTTTCATCTTCCATTTTCTTTAAAAATGCTTATACGGTTATTTCTTGATGTGTCATCTTTAGACAATTTCTACTTCCTAAAATAGTAGAGGAGGGCATAGCATGCTTACTCCCATCCCGGAATCCTCAGCCCACACCCACGACCTCCACATTTTCTCCCTGTAACCTCCCCATAAAGTTATGGTTGTCATTTAAATGAAATTTAACTGTTTAGATCACTATGACAATGTTGATACCATTCACTTATGAGACAAATGGTGTAGTACGATTATATTTCCTTTCTTGTATAATTTTTTTGTTTTCTGGAGTTAAAAATTGCCTCATTTTATTTTTATCTGCTTAGTTTTCCATGTACATATCATAGTTCCTATCAAAATCTATAACAGAATTATAAAATCTTTCTGAATATTACTTCCCACATGGTCAAACACCTGAGGTAACCTATCAGTTCCATTTCTCTTCCCTCCCCCACTGCTTTCTGTACTTGTTTTTCTTTAGACGTGATGCCCAGCTGATCTTCTGGGACTTCCCTTTGCATCTCTCTTGTGTTGGACTTCCTGTTTGCTGAATCTTATATCTTCCTCTTTTTCTTGATTTATTCCCTCTGTTTGTTGAAGCAAATTTTGTAGTAGTTTCCTGAGACAGAGTAAATGAGGTATTTTCAGATCCTGTATATCTAAATATGTCTCTATTCTATATTTATACTTGACTGATAATTTGGATGGGTATTTAAGGCTGGAAATTAATTTCTCTCAGAATTCTAAAGGCGACGTCCTCTAACTTCTGGTATCATATTGCGGTGAAGAAATCTTAACAATCTGATTTCTAATCTTTTGTATGAGATCCGCTTTTTCTCTCCAGGAGCCTTTAGGATCTTCTCTTTCTCTTTTTTCTCCTAAAATCCCACAGAGATGTGGCTTAGTGTTCTTTCTTTCATGTATTGTACTGGAGATTTGATGGGTCCTTTCAAATTGAAAACACATATTTTCCAGTTCTGAGAAATATTTTTGCATTATCTTTAATAACTTTATCCTTTCCAAGTATTTCCATTCTCTTTTTCCGGACTTCCTGTTAGATATTTGACATCTCAGAATAGTCAGATTTTTTTTTAACCCTTTTATACTGTTTCTCATCTCCTTATTTTCTGAGAGATTTCTTTAACTTTTCTTATAATCCTCTTTTTAAGTTTAACATTTTTAGTTATTATACTTTTCATTTCCAAGAGCTCTTTATCATTCTCCATTCTTTATTTTAAGCATCTTATTCTTTTTTTCACAAATGCATTATCTCCTTTTACTTCTCTAAGACTATACCTGTGAAATATATTCTCTATAAACTATAGAGACTATATTCTCTAAGAATACGTTCTAATGTTCTTTGTGTTATCTATGTTGCCACCAGGTTGTTTCTCTGTCTGTTAGTGTCACATTGAAGTTTCTCCTGAGATGTCTGGTAATTTTCGACTGTCTAATCCTATTTAAAAATGAGGCACTGAAAGGTTTGTTTCCTGGACAAACTTCTCTGTACAGTGATCAGGGAGGAACCAGCCATTTTTGTCGGGAGACCCTCAGATGTTAGACACTGTAGGGCTTTTCTCTGAAACTTCAGTTTCTTTAGCAAAGAATCTAACCATCTCCTTCTTTGTGGTGGGAAAAGGATTACAGAAGAGTCATATAACACAACTGGCTTGGAGCCTTCAGCAAGCTGAGCAGTGAGTAGAAGGAGGTCTCAGTATGACATCTGTCTTCTGCCCTCAGTGATATCTGATATCCTGCAGATATGAACCCTCTGGTCCAATTTCTCTGCCAGCATTGGGGAGGAATAGTCACTTAGCTACACAGAAGAGGACATTTGTCCTGGAGGTCTAACTGCTCATCAGAAAGACTTTCAACCAATCTTCAGTCCTATGACTCATATCAGCCTTCACGGTATCGGGGTCTTCCAATGGCCAAGACTTCCCAGGTCCTGTGGAGGGAACTTCTTGCCTTCATGGTGTGCTTCTTTACAGGCACTTGCTATTCATATTTCTCTCTCTGCTAATCCTTCTATCCAATTACACCTTCCAAAATTTTGTTGATATTTATTATCTGCTGATGTCTTCTCTGCCAGTCTCTTGTACTTGTGGGTTTATTTCTTTTTTAAAAAATCTTTTACACACATTTTTATGAAGTTTCATCAGGGAGAAAAGATAGATAGATGCTCATGATTTATTCATCATATTTAACCGAAAGTCACAACATGGATCCTTATGTGTCCTGAGTCCTGATGTTCCATCCTCTGTAAATCTCACTGCTGGCTGGTGACATATATTTTCCTATTCTCTGAAGCACATTGCTCTTATGGCCCCTTTCCTTTCTTTCTTCTGCCTTCCCTTCCTTTCTCTCCTTCATCAGTATTTTCTCTTTTCTTTACCTTAAGAGAATCAGTAGTTGCAATATGTTGCTTACTTTCATGCAGTGTTTCTTACAACCTCTACTTAGTGCAAGGATGGATCAGAGGAAATGATAAAAAATAGAAAATTGGGAATGGAGTACATATTTATTATGAGTCTTGGTAAAAGTGGTAAAATACCAAGAAAATCCACCTGAGATGACTAAATGAAAACCTGATAAGAATTGGAAAATCAGCTGAAGAATGGGAACCAGACCAATTACCCAGGTATTTATTCTTATAATATTCTTATGTTCTTAAAAATCCACCTCCTTGGCAATAACTATTCATTTAAAATATTTGTTTATTTCAAATGTGAACTTATTGGGTTTCCATATGACTGTCTCTTTTTGACACGGACTGTCTTAATTTCCATCCCCATATTCTTCTCACCAGCAGATCATTCCCGTCCTAGTGCACATTTTTTGTTCCCATTCCACTCCTTTCTTTAATTTTGGTCCTGGCCTTTCAATCCTCATGGAGCTTCCTCCATCATTGAGGAGATAGGCGTTCTGGAAGCTGTCCTGCTAAACAGCCTGCAGGGACTCCTTGGATAATGATCCTCAACTCCCCAAATGCAAGACAAGACTCATACCTCTAGGGATGATTCTAGATCTGTAAATTTGGGGGTGCTGCATTTAGATGACCAATTCAATCTTCTGTGTGTATGGAGAAAATCATGATTTTTATATTAAACACACACATAATTGTGCCATGTAATAAGATGCAGAGTATACATACTTTCAGGCACATTTCACATTCTCTACAAAGCCCCCAGATCCGAGACAAGCTCTAATTTATCTCTGCCTCAGATAGGTTAGTGAAAAAAAACTGAGAGGTACCTACTCGATCAAAGTCATAGCTGGGTATGAGATATAATTGGCAAATTCATGGTAAGACACAGAAAAAAAATCTCCACATGGTAGTAAATAAAGAAGTTGGTTCTACCTTTATCAAGTACAGAGAGAAAGCCCATAATACAGTTGCTACTAATTCTTAATTTTAAACAGTCTTTAAAATAGAAAAGGAAACATTTGACAGCTGCAAGAGTAAGATTCTGTAATGTGGAGGAGAGGAAATTAGTAGATGAGACAAAAACTAGAGACTAGAGAGTTAAAGGTGATGGGGGAAATTGGAGGAATGCCCATTGCTTTGATTGCTGACCTATCTCGTGCTCGAAGACAACAGTGAAATCCTTACCTGGGCTCGAGGTCAATTAGTAAGCGCTTCATATGTACCTGTGAGAATATCATTGAGCTCGTCGACCCTTTTGCTTTTGCTCTTATACTCTTCTTCTGCCATTTGAAGTTGTGGAAGACACTCAAATAGTTCATCTTCCTTTCCTTTGGTACTTTCTGTTTCTTTAACGAATTTTTCCTTCAGAGAAAGTAAAGCTAATTGTGAGGTATGATTTTAGAGAATTTACATAACGCCCCAGAGTAGAACATAAGTTATTCAAGGGGTAGAGTTCTGTCTTGGTATCCTGAGGCATATGGCAAAGGTACCAGGAACATACTAGATATTTAAAAAATATTTGCTGGCTGACCCATTGACTCTCTGGCAATCAATAAAGTAAGAAGATTAGATTCAATAGCTTTCCAAAGAGTTGTTGAGTTCTATAGCTCTATTGCTATGATTCTATTAATGCTTCCATATATGTACCTCAAAATCATTTGAGGAAATTTCTCGTTTGATTGTATTTTTTTGGAAAAACAAAAACAAAAACAAAAAAAAACAGATAGCAAAACAGAATATAAACAAGTTCTAAGAAATGTGTATGTAAGTAAGAAATGGGGAGAGGGGTAACAGTAATTGGATATAATATTATAACAAATGGGTAAGAAGTGCCCAGAGCAAAACACGAAGATGCCCGTTTAAGTACTCAAACTCAGGTTTTATTTAGTTTCAGATGGAATAATGGCTGGATCTCTTGCAGAAAGTCAGGATAGGTTTAAAATAATGACAAAGGCAGAGACAGCCAGCTAACATTTACTATCTATTCTCCCGTCCTTGAATATCAGGATTGCTGAGCTTCAGCTGAACGTTTGGCTGCCAGCTAGAGTGATTGCTCTGTTTCCCTTGCAGGTGAGTGAGACCAACCAATTTGTGAGCAGAATTGTATGTGCTCCTTCTAGGTCTTGCCCCTGCAATGAGAAGGGTTATGTGTTCCCTTGGCCCTTTCCTCCTGCCCCTGGCTGGAAGAGGATGAAAATAGAAGCCACCACTTCGACTCGCAGGTGTTAGCCTCATGCTGAGGATGGCAGAGCTGCCCTCCCAGCCCGGGATTGCCTATACCAAGAAAAATAAATAAATGTCTCTTGTTGTCATGACCACAACAGTGGGGCTTCTCAACTATGTACGCAGACTCTTAAGATTTGAATAGGCCATACTTGACCCAGTTCATTCTTAAAAACATTAATTTTTAATTTTAATTTTTATCCAAGTTGTCTGCACATAATTTGAAGAAATCCCTGAGTGCTAGCAGGGCAACACCAGGCATGCTTCCCCTGCAGGAAGTGTCCTAAAACACAGTCGGCCAGAGGCTGATGCCCTTTGACTCCACCAAAGGGCTAACTCATATGTGAGAAAGAGACCCACAGCAGTGGGTGTGGTAGCCTTCCTGGCTTAGAAGCCCCATGTTCAAATAGGAACCGACATCTCTTGGGCATATCTGCTAGCACCCCGCAAGGTACGTGCCCACTTAAAGGAGGCTCCAGACCCAGGAAATCCCTATATTCTGGTTTCCCACCAGTTATTCTCCCAGTCAAGATGCAACATACCAGTCAGGGGTCATTCTATACAAACGATGTTACCTGATAATACGCATTTATCTGGCTACTAGAGGAAGAAGCTAAAATGTTAAGCCAAGGTCAATTTCCCAATAAAGGAGAGAGGGTTGCTAACCCTTTAGAACACATCTTGTTTGTGTTCACTGTATTTTGGCATCTCATTGACAGAGCAGCTTGCTCTCGCCCTAATTAACACAGTGGCCAGATATGACTCCTTCCAAATTGCCATTAGAATCCTTATAAATAAATATTCAAAGAAAAACACACATAAAACATCATAATTTAAAAATATCACAAAGCAGAATCAGGAATAAATTCCTCCAAACTGCATTGTTAAAAAACTCAACAGTGAGTTATTTATATGATATTCTCTAAAAAAGAATAGCCTAGGGGGATAAGGAGGTATGCCAGTGCTTTAATTCATTCCCATTGTCTGCATGTGGCTTAGACCACCAGAGTTCCCCTGACAGAAACCATGCTCTTGTTTTATGCTTTGAGAGAGGGTTTGGGTACCAGGCACTGCTGCAGCTCAGGTAAGCCAGTGTTTGTCTTCTGGCTCAGCTTATTGGAGTGAGGCAGCTGGTCAGGCCCGCAGCTTCCTCAGTTCCTTCAAATTCTCCATCTGCTTTCCTGATTCCTGAGCTGCATGCAAACTTAGCTCAGTGAGGACCCACTCAGAGATGCAGCTTCTGCTGCAACTCCTTGGAGTCAGAGCCTTGGAGAAGAGAGAGACCAATGCAGGATGCAGGTACCACTCCACACTCGTGAGTTCCAGCTCATCCTCCAACTTGCAGTTTGACCTTGCCTTTCTCTGCTTCCTGTTCATCTTTCCCAACTGCCTCCTTGCTGCCTTTAGGCCCCAGCTCCATATGCAAAGCTGATAGCCTCAGTAGACTGTGTCATCAGCTCCCACAACTGCAGAAAGTCAAATCCTCTAAAAAAGCCCTTTTCTGGTGGCTCTGTTTCTCCTACTGAACCCCGCCAGATACAGGGCTGTTGAACCCAGCAATTCAATCACGCTCCATATGTCAGTGATAGATCATAATGATGTAGACGCCTGATGTGAGCTCTGATTGAGAATCAGAGTGGAGGCCCCGAGTAGTGTAGCCAAGTCTTTAGAGGACTTAGTCACAGCACTACATGGGAGGCAATATCTATCAAGATCTGGAAGTTTATATTTTAAACTAGTCACTAATATTCAGCGCTGTTTTCCTTAGACAGAATCTATGTGTCAAGGGCCCAAGTGGTGGTGGGACTTCTCACTATTAAACCTAATGCTTTTGCTTTCCCTTCCCATGAGTGTGGGTTCTGTCAGTTTAGAGATCCTACAACTGATGAGAACAATGATTCCACCAAGAGTACAATATTGATTCCATAAACCAAAATCTGAAATTGCTTCTACTCTATTTTGGGCTCCTTGTGCCACTAAACTAAAGGCAGAAAATGAGATTCCAATGTGCCCAGCATTATTGATGATGATTGTCAAGGAAGAAAAAGGTAATACCATTACCTTGAAAACGTGTGTTTTCTGTTGTGTTTTCAGGGACATGACACCTCTGGGTCTCCCGGGTAATTTCAGCGCCCTTTTTTGCCACCTCCCCCAGCATCCATGCCCTATTCTATCCCAGGTCAGTTCTTGGCAGTTTTCAAGTCAGTACTATGTCCTCTCTCTAAGGAGGATTTCTGAGGCTGGCCTGCCTCCTTGGTCTCCTTTACCCTTTGTCAGTCTTCCCAGCCACTCTCATGCCAGCCAGGCGTGGCATCCTGCACCACTCCATCTGTCTCCATGGATTTTTGCCAATACTTCTATGAAACTTGGAGTGTATAATTTTTTAACTAAAAAAACCAGCTGATTAAAATAGCATGAAATATACCCCTTCCCCTACATATAGCCATCTAAAAATTATTCTTAGATGTAAAATAACATTTACCTCATATTTGGTCAATTCTTCAATTAACTTTTTTTCTCTGATGACAAATTTCTCCTCCTCTTGTTTTAATTCTGTTGCAATTTTTTCAATCTCTACCAAGTATTCATTGATCTCTTTTTCTCTAGATTTGGTCTAATTAGGAAAAAAACAAGAGAATTTTTTTATTTGTCTTGTAGCAGTCATCCTTATATCTTCAAACAGCCAAGTAAATTAATAGCTCTTTGCATGAGATTTGGCTCTCATTTCAGGTTATTATTTCTCAGGAACCACTGAGACTTTTTTTTTTTTTTTTTGCCCTCCAGACATTAATTTCTACACCAAACAATATCTGTAAATGACATGAGGAAATGGAGAATGGGAGCAGTGGAGGATGGGCAGAGGGAAAATATAGGAGCTAAATAAATGATGTTTGGCCTCTTTATTTTCGGAGATAGATCCTCAAAAAACTATCAAGTTTCTGATTACAGGGTTTAAAAGCATATTCTGGAGAGAACGCCTACTTCATTTGCTACATTCCTATATTTAATACACAGCAAATGGATAAATTTCTTAAGAAAGTTACAAAATTCATCCTAACATGAAGTCAGCAGACAGAAAAATACCTTTTGGTTACATTAAATATTGAAGGAGAATTACTGATATGCAATATAGGGGACAAATAGCAAGTCTATTGAATTCCCTTACCTCTTGTAATAATTCAGTGCGTCTCAATTCTGTAGCCTTAATTTTATCTATATATTCTTGTAATTCGGTTTTCATCTTGGCTTTCCAACGTCCATGTTTTCTTTGCAAACAAATTAGTTTCCACTGAGTTATTACACTAGAGATTAGAACAAAAAGAATTAGCATTAAATCGACATAATAGTCTACAGAAAAGATAAAGAAATTCAAAACGAAACAAATTCTACTACAATTAAACTAGTGATGCAAACTATGCACATTAGCTGAAAAAATAACACAAAATGTTAACTGCCTCAATGTCATCTCTGCAAGTTGCTTCAAAGCAAGAAGTTATGCCGGCACATTCAGTAAGACAGTAGACAAACCATATTTGGCAGTTTGCCTCCTTTAGGTAAAGACTAGAAATGGGAAAGGTTCAGGGGCAGGAGGAAAAAGAGGCCCAGGGAGAAATAGAAATGGAATTAAGCAAATTATCCAAAATGCTAATAAGAGATTTCAAACTTCTGGGTTCTCAAATTTTTCTCTTAACCACAACATTAAAAAGCTACATAATCGGAGAAGGGTGAACATATATGATCGGAGTTTTATAAATAATATTAATAACAATGACAACGACAACAATAAAATAGAGCTAAGTTTTCCCAAGTGTCTCCTAGGTGCCAGGTGCTGATCAAAATACTTTACATGGATCATCTCATTTACCATTCACAGCAAACTTACAAGGTGGATGATACTATTATGCCCCTCTCTACAAGGATGTGAGCAAAGATGATTGAATAATGAGCCTCGGTCACAGAACCAGTAAGAGGCAGAACAAAGTGGTCCATCCCCCAAACCTGTATTCTTAACAACTCTTTACTGATTCACACGGAAACCTGGATAAGCATGAGCACAGCACAAATCCTGGCAACTTTGCTTTTTGGTGACTTCATTCATTTGAAATGGAAAACTTTGGTTCTATTCAATTCCTGCCACCCACTCCATCCCCCCCAACCCCCCCAAAATCAAACTAACACATCTGCATCGGAGAGCACTCACACAATTAACTTAGGAAAATCAGTTTCTTGGACTCTAGCAACTAACAAGTACTCTGATTTCTCCCCAACTCCCTACTTTGGGGCACTGTTCATTCAGATAACATATACCATTTATAACACAAAGGAATTTTTTTTCTTTACCATCTCTGATTTTCTCTTTCCAGGTTATCATTCAGGATTCTAATTTGTTTCCGATAGACTTCCATTGTTGCTCTAAAAACAGGAAAAAATATATCAGATTTTGCATTTGTAAGAGCTGTTAGACTATATAAAAGACTTTATGTATAATTCATATGCACAATAAGGCTACCGCTTAATTGAGAGGCAAAACAAAACTTGTGAAACAACTAAAGATTTTAGTGACAGATTAATAGGAAGGCAATTACAATTTGGGGCAAGTGCAAGTTGATTTTGCAAGTACTGAGGTGTATATCCAAGGATAGAGAAGAATAGATTCTGATGAGGCAGGCGAGGAAAGGTTATTGGAGGTTAATGTTTAATAAAAGGAAGAATACGGATCGTCGGAATGGAGATGCAAATTTCACCAAGGAAAGGATGTCATCATTTGCAAAGATACAGAGGAAAAGAACTGCAAGTTAGGACTCTTGTGATCAAGGCAGACTTGTTGCATACAAAGGACATGAATGCAATATCGCTGTGACACACTGTCAACAAATTGGTGAGGAACTCTGGATCCTAGATTGAGTTATGATTTGATACATCGTATAATACAGAAACCAAACAGAGGTTCTTGAACTAGGGGAAATAGTAATTAAGATGACTAAAATGGATGAAAATGTCAAGACTCTTATCTAGATATTAGAAGCCTTTATTATTTTTATTCCTTTTTTTCTCTATTAAGTGCTTCATGAACAGAGACAAATTGAAGACCACATAAACAAAATGTGACACTACATATTTTTGAGATGTAGAAATATTCATAAATGAAACTTAGAATATAAAATGTTGTTAAATGAACCAGAAACACAATTGTGCTTGTGGGGTTTTTTTTTTTTTTTTTCCTCTCTATTTGAGATCATAGTATGGGCTCTCAATTTTCTACATAAATAAATTTAATTTCCTCCCCTGGAACTGCAGGGTTCTTCACACTATACCTCAACCTCATTGATTTTATTTGTTTACATATTTAATTTAATCTACAAAAGAGTTGAACTAGTTTAAAATAAAGCAACAGTAATATAAAAAATCCTAAATGGAGGTCAATATTGGGCCAATATTTGGCTCTGAGTTTCCTGGTAATAAGAGTAATTATGACACTATAATTAATTATAAATTTGCATTATTCATAAGGAAATTAAAACCCCAATCAACCCAGTTCTATTTTCTTGTTTTTTATAGAAAAAAAGTTTATAGTTTCCTTTCTGAAGCTAACATGATGAGAAATAGATGTTTAAATATATTATTTAACAATATATGGACAAGCAAACAAAAAGCTACACTTCCAGCCACGTTTTAGATTTCTGTGTGTCAAATACTCATCACCACCCGTCTTAGTTTTATATATGTTGGTTTCTTCATTCTTCTGCATTCATATTATTTATTTCCTTGTTTATGGTGATATTATTACCCCATTTGATAAGCAAACAAAAAATCTGACTTTCTAAAGTTTTAAATCCTTATATAACAAAGAACTCCTTGACTTCACTTTCTTTCTTCTTTCTTTGATTGTTTTTTTTAATAATTCGCAGTCTATTCTTCAGTCATACAAAGTTCATTAGTTATTGCATGTGTGTTAGTCTTGCTTGTCTGCCCAACTAAAGTATGAGTTGCTTTATGCCTTGTGTTAGTGAGAGTGTAAAACAATAGAATATTTATGTAGGGCACTTTGATAATAATTATAAAAAAGAAAAATATGCAACACTCTTTGATCCAGTAATTCAACTTTTAGGACTTTATTGTAAAGAGATAGTCACATAGGTGGACAGAGATGTGCTTAATGAGGTTACCTTTGAAAAATGTTTGAAATATAGGAAACAGAAAAAACCCAAATGTCCATCAATAGAATACAGTATAATCTGCAAAAGGATACTATGCAGTTAGAGGGAAAAAATGAAGAAAGAGGTCTCATACATACATTTTTTTTATTTTGATATAGCTTCAAACTCAACAGGTAAGGATAAAAATTAGTACAAAAAATTCTCATATACTTTCCACTAATTTCTCCAAATGTTACTATTTTATTATTGTCCTAGGCATAATTTTTTCCAGCTTTACTGAGATATAAGTGACATGTAACATGGTATAAGTTACCCAAATATAATTGTAAGTGGAAAAAAATCCAGTTATGGAAGAGTACAATCCAAGTTTTGGAAACATACCACACACATATATACAAGTATATATATTAAAAAGCATGTATAGCAAACTGTTAACAGTAATTATCACTGTGGAGAGATGGAGAGATTAGAGAGTAATTTTACCCTCTAAGTTATCCATTTCCCTATTTGAATTTTAAAATCAGATATAGGCACTGCTTTTTTAATCAGAAAAATTAAAATAAAAGTGATTTAGAATGGCAGAAATGAACATCATAGTGGGGGTCAGTGTTGTAATAATGTTTGGGCACTTTCTTATCACTAGACCATTAACTGGTCCATTACTCATGTCTCACAACTTGTACAGCACTCAGAACTTGCTTATCCTTTCAATGAGAGATTCAATGATAATGACTTTTCTGGACTGTAAAACAAAAAGAGCTAATTATAAATCTCCTTTGTTAGAGTATATTAGAAATTGACATCGATTTATTGTTACCATGTATTAAAAAATAAATGCAGAGAGGAATGAAGTTTAAAAAGGTCAAAGGCAACAAACATACCGATAAAGTTCATTAAGTGCGACAAGTCCTTCTTCCATATTTTTGATGTCCACTTTTCTTTGTGATAGGAAGTTTTCTTTCTGAGCAATAAATGTCATTTGTTTCTGATTTCTACCATAGAAAAAAAACAGTTGTCATACATTAAAGGTTGAAGTAGTCATTTTTAACTCTTCAGTATAAGAAAACATGCATTCACAAATAAAAATTTTAACAATAGTTTCAAACATTCGGTTTATGAACTATTTACCCAATGAATTAGTAAAAATAGAAGCAAAGTCTTCTTACTTGGGATGAGTAAATCTAAATTTATGAAAATTCCCAAGCCACAAAAAGAACATTTACTACAATTGTAACCATGAAACAACAAGACTAGCTCCACAGGGCTTCGTCCCTCTCCTAATTATCAATTCTGCCATATTCTTTTGTGAAAGGTAAAAGAGTTCAATCAGATCAATTTTGAGTATTGGTTCTACCTCTTGCCAGGAATGTGACCTTGCAAAGAAACTTTACCTGTGAATGAGCTTATGTTTCCCCATCCACAAAATGGGGATTACAACACCCATCTCACCAAGTGTAAGAATTAAACAAGGTGTAAAGTGCTCAAGCCATTGGGTGGTACCCAAGAGGCATTTGACAAAAAGTGGTTATATTTTCTCCAACTTGCAGAAAGACTAGTGGGAAGTTTATGGTTTTGTTTACATTTCCAGACATTGTCAGGAACGTGCCTGCAACAGAAAGTACTCTGAGTGTCTTGTCTTCTTCAAAACTGTGATGGACTAAATCGTGTCCTACACAAATTCATGTGTTGAAGCCCTAACCACCAATAGCGGTGGTGTTAAAGATGGGGCCCTTGGGAGGAGACTAGGTTTCGATGAGGTCGTAAGGGTGAGGCACTCATGAAGAGATTAGCATCCTCATAAGAAGAGACACCGGTGTGTCTGCTTTCTCTCTCTACCACGAGAGGACCCAGTGAGAAGGTGACCTTCTTGAAGCCAAGAAGAGGGCTCTCACCAGAACCTGACCATGCTGGCATCCCGATCTCGAATATCCCGCCTCCAGACTGTGAGAAATAAATTTGTGCTATTTAAACCAACCGTATTTTGTTATGGCATCTCAGGCTGAAGAAGACAAAACCCAATAAAGGTTGCAAACATTTTAGTGTTACAATTATATGTCAGCACATTTTATGTTTCAAATTGATAACTGACTTAGTATGGATCTGAGAAAAGTTTTTGCTTGAATACTATTAACAGTATTGTTCTCTGTAGGCTGTTCAGTTGGATGAGATAAAATGATTCCAACAACTCTCTGCAGCTTAATTGTAACAACAATGAGCATGAACTCAGCTTCATATAAGCAGGTCCAGACACTATAATTACGCTTCCATGTGATTTAACTTCAAGTGATTATTACTTACATAACTATGCTTGCAAAATATTATTCTGGAATATTTATTAAGAAAACATTGGTGAATGCCCACAACCTGTTGAGCAATGTACAAGATCTCCGGGAAATAGCACTAGGACAACAACTGCCTTGATCTGTTCATAGATCAGTAGGACAAAGGGATTTGTACCCAGTTGATTATAATGCAGTGACTGGTGAAAAGGAACAACATCAGAAGGATGTTTCAGAAGGATCATTCTGATAGAAGGAAGGTAGATGAGATAGAGGTGATAAAGCATAAAGTGGGAAGAATTTTTAAGGGGCAAGCCAAACCAAAAAGGCTTGAAAGAGGTGAAAAGAATGAAGTTGGAGAGGAGGATAGGATATATTTGAAAAATATTTGGGAGGTACAATTAACAAGCTGTGGTGCTTGGATGAAGTCCAATGAGTAGTGAAAGAGAGGGATTTCCTTGAATAAGTTCCCAGTCTCTAGGTTGGAGGATTGTGTCAATGACCAAAGCCTTCTCTGAGACAGGGAATACAGGTGCAGAGTCAGTTTCTGATGAAGGTAGATCTCATAGTTTCTCTAGATCATCTTATAGGGTAAAAACAATTATTCCTTCAAGAATCTGATTTATAAGTAAAAACAATGCATTCCGTATTTATAGATTTGATCTGATTCATATGAAGAAAGCATTACTTAGTATTACAGAGGCAGATTAAGAGTGTGTTTATTTATTATTGGGTAAAGAATATTTTGTCATTGTCAGTAGATTTTAAAACTAGGATAAGCTTAAGTGGAGAATCATCACTTTGATAGCAAGGAAACACCCCATTAACTATGACATGTTGGTTCATGTATGGATCATGAAAAGAAACATACTCATCATGAATTTTCCTTTTCTGCAAAAAAATTTTATCTTCCTCTTGTACGAAAATCCTATATTGTCTGGTAAGAGTATTCAATTTATCTTGTAGTTCTTTGTTCTCTAAATTAGTTTTGTGTAGTTTTTCAGCCATCTAGAAAAAAAAAAACAACAAAGGATTTGATATAGAGGACTTGCTTCACAGTTCCTTTAAGGGGAGTCAGGGTCAGGTAGCAACTCTCTAGGGCACTGAACACATAGCTTAGCACACAATGACTACCATAAACGTTGAGTGATCTAATTCTATATCAAATATGCAATTTTACACTTTGGGGCCTCTTCTATAAATTATGACAAAAGTGTAGAAAGGTTATAAACACTGATGCAAAACCACAGAGAAATAATTGTTATTGAAATAAGAATTAGGATTAGCAACTGTGATCATTCAGCAAGAACTATGTGTCTTTTTTCCAGGAAGATAAACTACAACGGGGAAATAAACTATAACATCAACAGAAACTCTTGCTCAAAAACTCTTGGGGTATTATGCTTGCTTCTTATTAAACATTTCTATTCAAGAACAACAACAAAAAGAGTACCCATTACTGTCCTGAAGGAGACAAGAACAAGGTACTTAGATGTCTCTATCGAATTGCTTCAAATGAGGTAAAAAATATAGATTTACTATGCATGGTGGGCTCAATAATTCAAAATAAACTTCTGGCTGAGAATCGCCAACCTATCCAGATGAAAACAGAAATTTTAAGTGTTGAAGAAATAATACAGTAATGAAAAATGATTGGACAGGCACAAGAGCCCTGCTAAAGTGAATCCTGCTCCATAAGTTAGGCCCCTCACCAGCCAATTCTCATAACCAATCAGCCCAAAAGTCGACTCCTCCCATCAACATGCATACAGCAATCGTGGCTCAGCTCCAGGAGGAGGTCTCAAAACCCACACAAGGGATACACCTTGAGGATCTGGTTCAGGTGACCAGGGAAGACTGTGCCACTGGGTCCCACAAGATGCCTAATCTAGTAAGACTGGGAGACTTAGCAGCCCTACCTAATACACAGAAACAAACACAGGGAGGTAGCCAAAATGGGGAGACAAAGAAACATGTCCCACAGGAAAAACAGAACAAAGCTGCAGAAAAAGAACTAAATAAAATGGAAACAAGCAATCCATCAGATGCAGAGTTCAAAACACTAGTTAAAAGGATGCTCACCGAACTTATGGGAAGAGTGGATGAACTCAATGAGAACTCTAAGAGAGAGAGATAGAAAACATTAAAATGGAAATGGAAAACATAAAAGGGAACCAGTAAGAAATGAATACAATATCTGAGATGAAGAGTCCATTAAAGAGAGTCAACAGAGCGGATGAAGAAGAGGATTGAATCAGCAATTTAGAGGATGGGGTAGCGGAGGACACCCAGTTAGAATACCAATGAGAAAAAAGAATCCAAGAAAATGAGAATAGTTTAAGGAGCCTCTGGGACAACACCAAGTTTAACGACATTCGCATCATAGAGGTTCCAGAAGGAGAAGAGAGAGAGTAAGGAATTGAAAACCTATTTGAATAAATAATGACAGAAAACTTCCCTAACCTGGTAAAGGAATTAGACATACAACCCCTAGAAGCACAGAGTCCCAAACAAGATGAACCCAAAGAGTCTTACACCAAGACACATCATAATTAAAATGATAAAGGTTAAAGATAAAGAGAGAATCTTAAAAGCAGCAAAAAAAAAAAAAGCAATTAGTTACCTACAAGAGAACTCCCACAAGACTATCAGCCAACTTCTCTACAGAAACTTTGCAGGTCAGAAAGGATTGGCACAAAATATTCTAAGTGAAGAAAAGCAAGGACCTATAACAAAGATTACTTTACACAACAAAGCTATCATTTAGAATTGAAGGATGGATAAAGAACTTCCCAGATAAGAATAAGCTTAAAGAATTCCTCACCAACAAGCCAGTATTTCAGGAAATGTTGGAGGGACTTCTTTAAGAAGAAAAAAATATGTACCATAAATATGAATAATAAAATGGCAATAACTATGTATCTATCAACAAGTACTTCAAATGAAAAAGAATTAACTGTTCCACTCAAAAGATAGGGTGGCTGAATGGATAAAAAAGCAAGATCCTTACATATGCTGCCTAAAAGAGACTCACTTCAGATCGAAAGACACACAGACTGAAAGTAAAGGAATAGAAAAAGATATATCATGGAAATGTAAACAAACAAAAAAACCTGGGTAGCAATATTTATATCAGACAAAATAGACTTTAAAACAAAGGCTGTAACATGAGACAAAGAAAGACCCAGTAATCCCACTTCTGGATATTTATCTGAAGAAACCTAAAATACTATCTTGAAGGGACTTGTGCATCTATACGTTCATTGCAGCATTACTTACAATAGCCAAGATATGGAGGCCACCTGGTGTCCATCAATGGATGAATAAATAAAGAGGTGATACACATATACAGTGGAATATTATTCAGCCATTTAAATGAATGAATGAATGAATGAATGAATGAATGAATGAATGAAATATTGCCATCTGCAACAACATGGCTAGACCTAGACAGTATTGTGCTGAGTGGAGTAAGTCAGACAGACAAAGACGAATGCCATATGATTTCACTTACACGTGGAATCTAAAGAACAAAATAAACAAAACAAATAAACTCATAGATACAGACAACACTGAGAACTGCCAGTTGGGTGTGGGGTTGGGAGCATGGCTGAAAAAGGGGAAGGGATTAAGAAGTACAAATTGGTAGTTACAAAACAGTCATGGGGATGTAAAGTATACCATGAGGAATATAGTCAATGATATTGTAATAACTACGTACGGTGTCAGATGGGTACTAAATTTATGGGGATGATCACTTTGTAAGTTATATAAATGTCTAATCACTATGTTGCACACCTGAAACTAATATAATATTGTATGCCAACTATAATTGAAAAATAAAAAAATATTTTAAAAAAAAGAATCAGTGGAGGTCTAGCCCAGAGGGAAGCCATTCTTAATGCTGAGAGCTCACAACCAAAAATAGAAAGAATTTGACTGATATAAACCATACTTCTGGGAGAGAACTGCCTTTGATGTCCCTGCCTCAGGGCCTGGGTGCAAGCTTCGAGGGGGAGAACAAAACTCCTTGTAACAGAGGGACGAGAATTTGGCTATGGGGTTGTGGCGCATCCTAGAGCAAAAGGGCAAACAAGGAACTGCAGGAGAAAAACAAGATGCCTTTACGCTCTGCAGTAAGATTCCTCCCTATGATGACTCAAATTTCCAGCAAAGTGTTTCTTTTAGAAACTAGTGAAAGAAATAAATTTTACACTGTGGTTGACCTGGAGACAAAACAGATGTAGAGAATGTAGGCAGGGGGTTCCTGACACTACGGGTCCTGGACTATCGTAATTAAATATGTATATATGGATGGGAGGGGGAGGAGATGCCAAGAACATTTCACCTTCAAAGCAAGGGGAAAGGAGAAATTCAGTGATACCTGGTGTGTGTGTGTGTGTGTGTGTGTGTGTGTGTGTGTAAATAAGGTCATATTATGTGCACAGTTCTATATTTGTCACTCAATAATATATTATGAACTATTACCTATTTAATTAAGGCCTTTCTGTTAAATTTTAATTGTATTTTCTCTCTAATTGTTTAACTATCATAATAAATGCTTTGTAGAATATCTTGTGAATAAATCTTAGTTTACACTCATGATTATTTACATAACACCTTTCCTGTTTAGAAAAAAAAAGTGCAGCTCGCTGCCAGCATTAATTTAATTTTACATAAACACATTCTTTGAGGCTGAAGCAAATCTGACTGGTTTTCAATGTGAAAATAAAATATAAAAACTTTTCTTGGAGTTATTTCTAAATAGAACTTGTCTCTAATCCTAATGTAACAGAAATGTATACATAAATTGGTTCATTAAATGAACCTTTGGCTAACAACTGTTCAAGAACAATGTTAACATCATGCATAAGAATGCTGCGTTTTCCAATATGTGACATTTTCAGCATCAAATATAGAGAATAACTATATTTTGTAAATGGAAATACCACTACTGAAAACAGAATGTTAGGATGCGGTTCCATAGTGTAGCAGTTAGCATGTCTGCTTTATACTCAGAAAGTCCTGGGTTCATACCCCAGTGGAGCTACAGTCTATGGTCTACCGCCATGTCCGATGTCTGATCTCAGAAGCTAAGCAGTGTCAGGCCTGGTTAGTACTTGGATGGGAGAACATCTAGGAAGACCAGGTGCTGTAGGCATAACTACTACTAATAAATAATAATAATAATAAAAACAGAATGTTATAAACAGAATGATGTTATTTGTTCCCATAGACTATCGATACACTAGAGTGATGCAAAAATAATAATAAAAGCGAGATATTTTATGGCAAACTTTGGGGGTAAGGTTAGGACTGTAATCTGCGAGTTATCTCTGGGTAAACCTTGCAGTCACAGGTGCCGTGGCCAAGTATTCTTGGGGCAAATGGGAAATTGGTTAAAATATCATATTCCTTTTAAACTAAGTTCTAAAATGTCTAGATAATTCTCCTGCTGGCCAAATTTGACTCAAATATTTCACTAACATTATTAAGTACAATATGGGTTGCTACATTTCACAGCTGCCACACAATAATTTTTCTAATTAACTGACCTGAAAAATGTCCATTAGTCATGAATACTCCTAATGTAAAATAACCATACCCACATGAAAAGTTACCAAAAAAAAATGACTCATCTACACATGGACAACTTTGTTCTTTTATATATTGAAAGTGCTTTGGGAAGGAATAAAATCTTTATTAATTACTGTGAATGATCGTGATCATTATTAGTTAATGAAAAATCTACTTTAGAAAAATTCCACATTTCCCACATATATTTAAAATATTAATTACAAATAAAATATAATTACAATCTAAAAATCATCATTTATGTTTTCCTACCTCTTTTATCTTCCGCAATAATTCTTCTTTTTCAAAATTTGATGTATCATCCAGTTTTTCCCTGCTACTCTTAAAAAAATGCCTATGAACAAAGGAAGCCAAACATATTAAGACATATTTTCCAGCAAAGCCTCATCTCCCTACGTAACATATTCATTTATATATTCATTAAAATAGACAAAAGATTTTACTGTTTTGAACTGATAAATTAATGTTTTGTTATTTTATTCAATCATTTAAGAAGCAATTATTGAACACCTACAATTCACAGGTGTTACAGGTACTAGAGATACAGCACAGGCAAAGTCCCTACTTTCATAAAAATTACACACTAGTGGAGTAGTCAGAATATAAGCAAGTTATCAAAAAAATAAATAAGTCATATATATCAGATAGTGGCAAGTGCTCCAAAGAACACAAAGTAGGATAAAAGATAAAGAAATCCTGAGAGCAAGGATGCTACATTAGACAATGGTGGTTAGGGAAGAACTCTTGGAATGACTTGTGAAAGATCTGAACAATGAGAAGGAGCCAGATATGTGAGGATCTGAGGGAAGAGTTTTTCATGTAGAAGGAACAGCAAGTGATGATATCCTGAGGTGGTAACGAGCTTTGTGCATTTTACAAAGAGAGGAATATGAGAAGACTGGCGAGGTAGACAGAGGCTAGATTACATAAGATAGGTACCAATTTGCCTTTATTCTGCAAATGCATCATGCTGACTATCAATAATAATAAAGAACAAAGATTAAACTATCAATACATCCTGTGGACTTGTAGAGCATTTGAGTTACTCTTAACTGTCTACATATAGAATTTAAACTCATGATTGAGTGATTTTTGTTTTTCCTCAATATTTTGACATCAAAGTGGATACTAAGTTTATAAGTTAAAGATTGTATGGGGTGAAAATTATAGGCTAATTGAAAGGTTAATTGTGTAAATTATTTTAATTTCTTAAATAATTCTTAAAGAATCTTATAAAACAACACTGTTTGATTCTTCAAATCCACCAAGCAAGAACTAGGCTGCCTCTCCCCACCTCCACAGAGAAAATGAACTAAGTGAGAAAATAAAAAGAATACAGAGAATTTTTTTTAATTTGCCAAGCAACAAAGAGGAAAAAGTAAAGTTTTATTAATAAAAATGAGGGTAACCTATATGCTCAATCACTAAATTAATGAAAAGCACTTTTCCTCAGTGAGATTCCACATGAATGAAAACACTTGAAAAGCAGGAATTGGAGAAAAAAATGAGCCATTAAAAATGGAAGATCTACAAATCCCCATTTTCTTCTTGGACATATATTTAAAAGAAGTTAGCTAATACTGGAGACTGCTTATAAATAAAACTTCATCAGTGTAGCAAGGTTTCTAATCATAACTCCTAGAAATAATTTAAGAGCTAATCTGTATCTTCTACTATGATTCTTTGCTTAGTTTTTCTTTAAAACATGTGTAAACTAAATTATTGAATCATTTTCAAAGGAAAAGATTTTCTATTCTGAATTTTAATTGTAGTAACACTTGAATTTTCCTATTAAATCTGGTATTAAGCGCAAAGATTACTGCCTATTTTATGGACTGACGATGCTGGTACTATGCAATTACTGATTTGGAAGATGTCATTTTAATCATAATACATTCAAACCGTTGAATGCAGAAATGAGCCATATTATGACAGGATGCCACATGTGATGTTAACTTGCCTTTTGTGGAATCTGCTCGATTCACAATTTGTCTTTTAAACTATCAGGGAACCTTCGGGGTAGGCCCAGAAGCTATATTTATTTGTATTACAAGACCCCACCTTCTTGTCCAGAGGTGAGCCAAACAGCTTCTGATGGGAAATCTGGGAATTCTCCTGAGAGAGAGACTGTTGGTCAATCTCTAAAGATAGATAGATCTGTGGCAGGCAAATTCAAGAGGGTTTATAATGGCCATGCTTAGCCATGGGCTCACCAAGAAAAGAACACAAAATGTAGATAAAAAGAGAAGAATAAAACACCTTTGCAAAAGAAAACAGAGACTATGGGTCTTGGGATGGACCAGAAGATTTCCTTAGGTTTCTGGTTCTAATCCTACAGGTAAAAGTTTTTTCCCGAGGCTTTCCTATGTTTTCTCAATAAGTTTTGCAAGTCCCCCTTAACTAAGAACAACTGTAACATGAGTAGGTGAGTTTGTAGCCTGTGACATGTCTCACTAATGCCTTCCCCAGGGGCATAATCATTTGCAGGGGGTCAGGAACCCAAGTGAGGATAATACATTCCCAAGAGTCCCTTCCTTTTCCTAAGCTGATTGCATCATCTCCAATATTTTCCCTTAATCATCTGAAAGACCAGTTAATTTCAAAATGAAGAGGTGCTTCTATAAAGTTGACAATCACACGTTTTAGTAAACTAGAAGATTATAATTTTCATCTAAAAATCTCTTAAATGAAAGGAACATGACATCTAGAAATGTTTCAGTAAAAATAAGGTAGCATACTCACCTTTTGTCCTTCAGGATATTACAGGAGTTCTTTATATCTTCGATCTGTTTTTCCCATCGTCTTATTGATGCCTGTAGTCGTGCTATCTCTAAATTGTGATCACTAAGAACCTATTGAAAATTTTACAAAATTATGGCATTCAATCATCATCAAATGATTCATGACAGCAGTTCAATTCACTAAATATTCATGCATCACCCACTCAACTTTTACACTGGAAGTGTCCTTTAGTTAAAATAAAAGCCATCATTATAACTGTTTCTTCAAAACAAAAATTTGGATAAAAATAATTCTGAAATTATCAGGAAAAAAATTGAGAAGGAAGAACAATCAAATATAATAGCGAGGATGTGAAAACTCTAAGAACAACTTTCAAGACATAAATTCGTTTTGACTATCATTTAAAAAAATAAACAAATCTATATTTTCATACTCACCTTCAAAATATTATTCCAGGATACTAGAAATGACCATTATAAAAAAGTCAAAACAAATTAAGTCTTTTACTTTAATGAATAGCTATGTTCATGCTGAAAAGAATTTTTCTTTCTTAAGTCTTAATCAGAAGTTTGGAAATGAAAGATTGGATACTGTGAAAATATGTTAGCATGATTTAAAAAAAGTCAACATGGATGAAGAAAATTCATAGTGAAATAGATATTTTTTCAATGCAGGAAGCAAACTTATGAAAGCTTTGGGTCTGCATTTTGGCTCGTGAGGGAGAATGAAACTGGTCTAATTCCCCCTTCCTCTGGCAGAGAGTTACCATGGACAGATTATTTAATGCCATTGAACCCTGCTCATCAACATGGGGGCAGAGAAACATCTGCGGGGAGCATAGAGGTTCTCTCCACCATGCCAGGTGAGACAGGTGAGTGATAGCTCTCCCCAAACTATTTCTTTCTCTAAAGCACCCATGTGACTGAATTTCTCGGCCACAATTAGCTACAGAGTAACAGGGGTCTAAAATCCTAGAACTCCCATGAAAAATTAGCAGAATGTCTAAAGGACTCTGGCCAGTCATCAGGATTAGTGACTAATGGCTGAAGGCTGTTGACTGACGTCAGTTACTGCTAGCCTTCAGTCCTGCCTGCCTTGGACGTGTAGGCCACTTTGAGAACCACACACTATTATCTTTTTCTGCCAACATGACATCAGCTTGACCTGGCTGCAGAGTTTTCTAAACTAAAGGTACCATACGAAGATTAATCTGAAATTCCCTATTGTCTCAGTCCACAGCCAAAATGTTTTCTAATCTCAGGCAATAACAACAACAGACTTCGCCAATTACAAAGAACTCAGCTTAAAAGGCTTAAAGGCATTACCTCTTTTGACCGCCACAAAAGCCCTTTGAAGAAGGCAATAATGTTACCACATTTTATAGGAGAGAAAACTGGTAGAGCCAATATTTGAACCCAGGTCTCTGTGACACTCAAGCTTCTGCTTTAAACGCTATTCTCACTGGTAAAATGGGGTGGGAATTAACTAGGCCTGGGTGCTGCAGGCTAGATTGGGGGAGATGGAAAATGACACCTTCAGGCCTTGTCTCATTTGGCTTTAGCGATCTTTGGAATACAGGTTAAGGAACATGTACTTCATTTTCCCAAGCTAGGTCTGGAAGAGGGCACTTGGCTTATGATTGATAAGGCACAAACTGGAGATACGAACTTGGACACCCACATAAAATCTATGTTACAACCCCTATGTTCTCCTTTGAGCCCAGCCTGACACATGCTTCCTTACCATGTCAGTATTTAAAGAAGCAGATAATGATCTTTTTAAATGCACATATTTGATGGAAAGTTTTGATTTTATTAATGTTTTGTAATTGGATGTCATAACCGATATAGTCTAACTAAGATGATCAGAACCACCCTATAAAAAGTATAATGAAATTAGCTGAGTATTCTGATAAGAAGTGTGATGCTTCAGTATCACTGTTGCCCCATATAGTTTTACATGTATTTCTCAATACAGATAGAAGAAATAAAGACTCAGTAATTCAACTAATTGAGATAGAAGATTAACTGGCCTTTCCATTTTAACTAACATAGAAGTGCCATTAACATTAACTTCCTTGATTATAATCACCTCCATAAGCTTCGGTTTTCTTGAAGAGTGCTGAAGTATTTTTGAATTCAAATTGACAAATAGTCCCCTTTCCATATTAATCTCCTTCTACCTAAGATAAATGGAGAGCCTAAATTCTATTTTATTATCACACATTCAAAATTAAGGAATCTTTTCGTGGTTATTCATTTTGTTATGTAAAATAAAGCAATATCAAAGAAATGTTCTGTGCATCATATGGTTCTGTATGCATTGGTTTGTTCTCTGTGCATCTTTTAAAAATCATCTTTTATAGTATTTTGACCCATCAAATGCAATTTGCACCTGAGGCATGCAAAGCTTCCTTCTTTCTACCATACTCCTAAAGAAGAAAATGTGATCGCACTATAACGCTTTAAAGTATCAGAAAATGTTAACATGCCAGAAATATTTTTCCAGAATAGCATGAAGATGAATTAAAATCAATTCCTTTTTTTAAAAAACATCCACTATCAGTTATGTTTAAGGTAGTATATATTGAGGTGCTTGGGTCAGGCTTAAAAAAACATAGTTTGTTCTTTCTTACCACTGTGCTGGTAGTGACTGTTTCTTTAATTTTTGTCACTTCACGACTTAATTTATCCAATTCTTTCTTCTTTTGACGAGTGTCCTGTCTCTTAAGCTTACAGAGATTTTTATATTCATTAATCTGTAGTGACAAACATTACAAACCAATCAAAAAACATGAGGACAACAAAATTTAAAAAATATTTTTATATTTTGTCGACCTAATTCAAATTCAATCTAAGCACACTATATTTAATCTAAATACATCAAAAAATAAAAAATAAATAAATCAGGGTTTGCCTGTTTTATAGAATCACAGAAAAAATAGTGAACAACAAGGAACATTATAAAATGTTATAAAAGCAAATTTATAAGAGCAACAAAACAATGATCATTAACAGCAAATTATAAAAGCAATAGCCATTGTAGTAATTTACTAGTAAAGCACCATAGCAGTAGTTACCAGATTTATAGTGTGCTACACAGATTAGGAGAGTCAAAGGAAGGAATGAAACCTAATTCCACATTATTTAATGAGAAATAAGACAGATCAAGGTCAGAGTAAACAAAATATTGACGATAGGGCTGCTTACAATCCTGGACAACTTCTTACCATTTTACCAAGATCAAACATTCAGATCACTTGTCAAAACCTAATGGAGTAAGTCACTCGCTTATCAAACACATCAATGAATTTGTCTGGCAAAATGAATTATCAAGAAAAGGTAACTGACAGAGTAGCAAGGTCTGAAAAAGCATATTCAACTGTGTATTAAAGAGTTATAAAAACATATGTTTGAGTGGCTTTCTATCAAAACCACCAGCCAAGTCACCCAAAGTGGCTACTCTGAATGAATGTGATCATAATCAATGATCTCTGCACCAGAGCACAATTGAATAAAACTTCGTGATTAATAATTTTGCTGAAAATTGGAATTCTGTGTTCATGCTTTGGCCTAAGCCTTCTCCCAAGGTCTTGCAACTATAGAAATGGTATTAGCAAAAAGCATTTTGTTTTGTATTAGGGGAGATCTCAAGGGTTTGAAGACTTTCTAATACTTGTAATAGTTTTTCCTCTCTCTTAGGAAGTAAAGAGAATTAACAGGCTGTTACCACAGCCTATCGTGCCTTTAGCGAACATCGGTGGTTTACGTGTTCATATCCACTTCAGTTCGTCTAGCCCACTGGCACACGACATTCCTTTAGGATCCATTACTGTTCCCAAGATGGGTGATGTCTTAACCTGGCTGGATCAGACACAGCAAGAAGACTTATGGTCTTTGGTTAAGACAAGTTTTCCTCTTTTTACTTGAATAAGGAAGCATAGAGTCCAGTTGTCATTATTGGCAGCCACCTTGTGACCATGAGGAAAATCAAGCTTCAGAAAAAGGAAGAGAGGAAGGATGAGCCACTGAATTAACTTGTCCTGGACACTGCCCTACATCAGGAATTCCTACTGGTGCACTTTCCCAGGAAGGTAAACCAGGGGTAAACAAACTACTACCTGTGGGCCAAATCCAGCCACCACTTGTTTTTGTAAAACTGCTCTCATTCATTTAAGTATTATTTATGGCTACTGTCATGCTAAAATGTCAGAGTTGAGTAGTTGTGACAGAGACCCTATGGCCCACAAAGCCTTAAATCTTTACAATCTGGCCCCTTTCAGAAAAAGTCTGTGGACCCTGAGATAGACTATTTACACATGGAGGAACCTATTATGTTTGCAAATTCCCTGTTTTAAGCCCTTCTGAGCTTCCTTTCTTGCATTTTAACATTTATATTAAAAAAATAAAAAAGAGGAAAAAACTTCCCCATAGGACTTAAAATGAAGTTAGAAACTCATTCATTCAATGAATCAATATTATAGAGTGCCCCCCATGTGTGAGGTACGCCAGGCACTGTCCCTGGTGCTGGGACACAGCCATGAAGAACACAGACAGAATCCCTGGCCTGCGGAGCCTTCCTTCTGGAGGGCAAAGTGCAGATCCAGTGCCACTGCTGACTGACCATATAGGTCCCAGGGGAAGTAAGGACAAAGGACAGGCTCTACACTCCTCGCCCCACCCCCAGCTGTGCCCACACAGACATACCCCACTTTGGACCCCCGTAATGTAAGTGAGCTGCTCCAGCTTAGGGGTCTGGATTGCGCAGAGAGAATGGAGTCGTGCATTCAGGAGAGGGCCGGAGACAGTGGGGCGATCTGAGTGCTGCTCAGCCTCGTTGTCAAAAGAGCATGAAAACAACAAAATGCCTTTCGGCTCTTGTTCTGAAATTTCCATTTCTTTGTGATAACAGTGAAACCGAGTGAAGTCTTGCCCAGTGATGTGTGTCCCTCTCTGTTTTTGAGACATATATTTCAACTGATTCCAGCACTGCAGCTGGCTTCAACCCCTCTTCATCCAGCCCCTCTGGGGAGCTGGGCTTTTACAAATTCAGTTTAGTGGCTACAGATGGCCCAAGGAACAACTGTTCAGCTGCTTTACAAAGCACCTGTTCCAAGGCTGAGCTATCTATATTCAAGAAAAATAATAGTTTTAGTGTAGAACTATTCCAGAAGATGTAGGTGCTTCGAAGGATAAAGTAGCTTAGACCTGATTGGAATTTTTTAATAGCTCAAGTCTAATCGAGGAATCAATCACCATAAGAACCAAATGTTGGCCACTGCCTGATTGTATTCCTCTAAATTTTTAATGAAGATTCAAGAAAAGCAATTTAATAGAAGTTCTTTTTTTTTTAAATTGAACTTGTGAGCTCAAGTTCAATTTCCTGCATTTATAAACTGAGGTTATGGCAACTGCCATCATGGATAAGACATCAGGAGCTCAACAGCAATTTTCATCATGAGGTAGGCCTCCACTACAGAGGGAGAAAGAAGACTGATACGGGGCACCGCTAATATGGAGACAGCCCTGCCTCTCCTGGGGCAACCAGAAGCAGAACAAAGAAGAACCCACGGTAAACTATTCTGATGGTGAATTTTAATTAATATAGCCTAGCAGACAGCAAGATGCAGTCATTATTCCCTCTACCCCCACTCACAAAATTGGTGGCCTCAAGAGACTCTGTTCTCTTAGTGCCTTTGGCTCTGCCCAGCCCCTCTACTGGCTGCTTCTCAGATTCATTC